ATTTCAGAAAAATTGCAGACTACAGGAACCATTTGCACTACTCAGGTGACCCTGAGTACACAGATAAACCTTCAAGTGGCCTCAACCACTCTCTAAAAAGGATGCGAATGACCAGCTGTCTGGAAGGAGTATAAATCCTTCCATTCCCCCACCATCCAGTCAGAGCCAAAGAAGCTTCTTGGATGAGAAGCGAAACATCTTCAAAGAAAATCCAGAAAGTCCAGTTGCCTCTCGAAAAAGCACCTTTGGGAATTCCTATGAGAGAGAAAACTGAATCCAGGAATTCTGCACTAAAAAGGATCAGCAGGGTATTGCTATTGGATAGGAAATCGGTAGAGAAGTCAAGAGGTATTCCAGAAGAAGATAGGGACAAACCACTTCCACACCATTGCTAAGAGAACCGTATGAATAAGCCTATAAAAATAATCAGCAGTCAAATTCAACTTGAGCCATGGTGATGCGGTACAGGCTACTTCTGCTGCCTGCCGGCTGCCTGCAATTTGGCAGTTCAAATCTTACCAGGCTCAAGGTTGACTCACCCTTCCATCCTTCCAAGGTGGGTAAAACAAGGACCCAGATTGTTGGGGGCCAATAGGCTGACTCTGTAAACCACTTAGAGATGGCTGTAAAGCACTGTAAAGAGATATATAAGTCTATTGCTACAAGAAAGCTTACTTTTATTCAAACCAATTGGGATTACTGTAATCCACATGGCCTTTCTGCAAATACACAGCTTGTTTTTCAAGCTTTCTATGAAACCTTGAGCTGTTGGAATGAGCCAGTCGAGGAGACCCATAATCCCCAATGATTAGTAGAACATGGCCTTATTCCTTAAGGATGTCATTTTTCTGGAGACTTGAGTTGCTGTTCTTATTTTATCATTCCACTGTTTGGAGGAGTACATTTGTTTATATAGTCAAAGTATCAGCCCCCTGGAGTAGATACAGTAGATACAACTCGACATCAAATGTGCAAAAATAGAGAAGCAATCATTCACGTTGCCTGTTTATAGTAAGTTACCAACAATCCATCCAGAATGCAACTGTAAAGGTAAAGATAAAGGTTCCCCTCGCACATCCTGTATGTGCTAGTCGTTCCCAACTCTAGGGGGCAATGCTCACCTCCGTTTCAAAGCCGAAGAGCCAGTGCTATCCGAAGACGTCTCTGTGGTCATGTGGCCGGCATGACTAAGGCGCATGGAATGCTGTTACCTTCCCACCAAAGATGGTCCCTATTTTTCTATTTGCATTTTTTACGTGCTTTCGAACTGCTAGGTTGGCAGAAGCTGGGACAAAGAACGGGAGCTCACCCTGTTACGTGGCACTAGGGATTCGAACCACTGAACTGCCAACCTTTTGATCGACAAGCTCAGCGTCTTAGCCACTGAGCCACCGCGTCCTTTTTACAGTCAGTAAATTGAGTTAAATTGAACCATGGTGGCACAGTGGTTAGAATGCAGTATTGCAGGGTAACTCTGCCAACTGCCAGCAATTTGATTCTGGCTGGCTCAAGGTTGACTCAGCCTCCCATCTTTCCGACGTTGGTAAAATGAGGACCCAGATTGTTGGGGGGGGGCAATAGGCTGGCTTTGTAAATCGCTTAGAGAGGGCTGTAAAAATACTGTGAAGTCTTAAGTGTTAGTGCTATTAAAATCAATAAACAACATTCAATGCAGCAACTGGATTCTTTATATGCCTAGTTTCGCCTACCAAAACAGATGAGATGACCTTTCTAAAGACAAAAATAAAGACTCCGTTGCCTTTTAGGATATTTTTCCCCCCCAGCTTCCTAATCTAGCAGCTCTGGGACTTCATTATGTTCCACCCAAGCAAGACCCTGCTTAATATTTTTGGCTAGCCCAGATTACTGTTGGCATGGACTGTCTAGCATCTCCTACTTCTCCCACTATTAGATGTTCCCAGGAACAGATTGCATTGTTCTACTTGACGTGCTGCCTTTAGAACATCACGTGCTGAGCCGTTTGCTACTTGGAAATCTGCAGTTTTAGTGGCTCGCATACCACCAAGTGGAGGCTGCAAAACTGATCCTGCTTAGGTAACCTAATAATTGGCCCTGAGCAATCTGCTGAACAATACTGGTGGGCCATTTCAAGATCCTGGTGGATCTTGAAGGTGGATCGATAGGCAGAAAGACCTATTTTTTAAAATCTTTCAGCCCTTCGCACAGAGCCTCTGCAGACCATGTCAGACGAGGGCCAGACATCAATGCCTAAATACAGCATTGTGTTTGTTTAACGAGGACCAAATAATACCATTCATGAAAACTGTCAAATGTGTGGATGACCAATCAGAAGCTGGAAAGGGAAAGAAAAGCGATCAAAGTGGCATTTGGCTGAACCCATATTATGCCTTCTCCACACAAATCCCACTGACAGTTGTATCTCTCTCTGTCTCTGTCCTCTTTCTTTCTTTCTTTTTCTTTCTTTCTTTCTTTCTTTCTTTCTTTCTTTCTTTCTTTCTTTCTTTCTTTCTCTTCCTTCCTTCCCTCCCTATCTCCCTCCCTCCCTCCCTCCTCTCTCTTTCTCTCTCTCCTTGATCTGCACCCACAATTGGAACACATATTTTCCTCCCACAGTCCTGGTGGCATGGAATTCCAAATCCCCAAGCAATTAAAGAACACCTTTTTCATATTTTCAGTTCCTCTCCCCAGGGCCTATGTGCTTCTTTCTTTGAATCTGGAATCTTTTTAAGTTAAAAGAACCGTCTGCTAGCTTTAATGATCTCTCCCCCCCCCTGCCTATTCTTTTTAATCGGAATCTAAACTAATCTTCTGTTCCTATTAGAGGAACGGCCTGTGACTGTATGTGATAATCCAAGCTTTGATTTGCTTGCCTTGCCTTGTGATATGAACGTAGCGGCTGCGGATTATAAACCACACCTAATAATGGCTTAGCAAGTTGTGAACACTCTGCTATTGTAGCTTATTCAAAAAAATCAATACACTATTGTTCGATGCAACCTGGGAGCCCCAAAAGAAAGAGAGAGGAGGAGGGAGGGAGGGAGAGAGAGAGAGAGAGAGAGAGAGAGTGTCAATGGATGAACACATACTGTACATAAAGTTTAAAATGTGAATGGGCATAATTGCAGGTGTCAAGTACAAAACGGGATATCAACGGAATGCTGCTTGCAAAAAATGGCACAATCATGATACAAATAACAAATGTATTACGATGTCATTGTGATGGTGTCTTCGCGACATGCCATCATTTGTTCCCTGTTGTTCTCCCTCCCCCTCCCCCCCATAATTAATGGTACAGATCAGTGGTGAAATCTAAAATTTGTTACTACCGGTTCTGTGGGCATGGCTTGGTGGGTGTGGTGTGGCTTGGTGGGCATGGCAGGGGAAGGATACTGCAAAATCTCCATTCCCACCCCACTCCAGGGGGAAGGGTATTGCAAAATCTCCATTCCCACTCCACTCTTGGAGGAAGGATATTGCAAAATCTCCATTCCCTCACCACCTGGAGGAAGGATACTGCAAAATCTCCATTCCCTCATCACTCCAGGGGGAAGGATATTGCAAAATCTCCATTCCCACCCCATTCTGGGACCAGCCAGAGGTGGTATTTGCCGGTTCTCCGAACTACTCAAAATTTCCGCTACCGGTTCTCCAGAACCTGTCAGAACCTGCTGGATTTTATCCCTGGGAAGAACCCTCCTGGATCAAGTAAAGAGATTCATGACCCAGATCTCACCAGATGCTTCCAGGAAGGGCTCAAGCAGAATGAGAGGACAAATGCTCATAATTGGTATGGAAGGTCTGGCTGGATTGACCTCACACACTGAGACATCAACCAAAGTGTGAGCCATGAGCTGGGAGCCAACAGTTCTCAAGGCAGGGAAGTCATTTATGTCAGCAAACAGTCAACTTCAGAACCTTAGGAGCCTGTTTAAGCAAAGAAATGATGGGAAGAAGCAGTGATGCATTTAATGATATAAAGAGAACCTTCATCCCTGTGCTAACAGAGGATAAAAGGTAAAGGTAAAGCACTGGTGGATTTCAGTTCTGTGGGCGTGGTTTGGTGGATGTGGCATGGCTTGGTGGGCATGGCAGGGGAAGAATACTGTAAAATCTCCATTCCCTCCCCACTCCAGGGGAAGGTTACTGCAAAATCCCCATTTCCTCCTGATCAGCTGGGACTCGGGAGGCAGAGAATAGATGGCGGTGGGGCCAGTCAGAAGTGGTATTTACCGGTTCTCCGAACTACTCAAAATTTCCGCTACTGGTTCTCCAGAACTGGTGAGAACCTGCTGAAACCCACCTCTGAGGTAAAGGTTTCCCTTGCACCTATGTGCTAGGCGTTCCTGACTCTAGGGGGCGGTGCTCATTTCCGTTTCAAAGCCGAAGAGCCAGCGCTGTCCGAAGACGTCTCCGTGGACATGTGGCCGACATGACTAAATGCCAAAGGCGCATGGAACGCTGTTACCTTCCCACCATAAGGTGATCCCTATTTTTCTACTTGCATTTTTTACATGCTTTTGAACTGCTAGGTTGGCAGAAGCTGGGACAAGTAACGGGAGCTCACCCCATTACGCGGCACTAAGGATTCAAACTGCTGAACTGCTGATCATTCGATCGACAAGCTCAGCGTCTTAGCCACTGAGCCACCGCCTCTCTATTTCTGTATGTCCTATGTCCCTGACAGAGGATACAGACATATAAATACACAGATGGACATGGGAGGAAGAGAATATGGAGCTCACATACGTAAAATATCTAAATTCGCCAGGAAGCTGCTCTTTCTCCTTTGATGGAGTTGCCGTCTCTGCCTTTTATCTCACTTTCAACATTCTCATGAATCCTTCATTCTCCCTCCATGTTACACTAATGAGTCTGGCCCAGTTATACAATAAGAGGCTTTTATGCATGGTTAATCGGTCCCAGAATCCCATCAACGTCCCCGTTATGCATTTCTCTGAGCCAAATCTCCTTGGCGGCTGTGTTGTCCCATCCCCTCATTTGCCTTTTGTACTTTCCTTCCATGGGAATCCCTTCCCTGCTTTTGGGTTGACCTCATTATGAAGCCCTCCTGAGCGATGCCCTGGGCTGGCCTAATCCCAACCCAGCGTTTCTAACGGGAAGTTTGTCAGGAGTTTTCTTTGATCCTCTCCAGTCCCACTGCAGTTCCCTGCAGCCGGCCGGTGTCCGAGTTCCTCACTTTTGGCTTCAGGATTCCCCACAGAGATCTTCCTTGAGTATCTTAGCATCCTTTGTGAGTATTTTATTGATTGAAGTTTTGCAACACGGCCAGCATTGGTTCTGTTTCTGCAACCAAAGATGCCATAGCTTTACTGATCTTTTTTTTTTAAAAGAATAGGAGCGGTGATGGAGCTGAAGGCTAGCATGTCTATATTCTAATGAAGAGAAGAGCAACCAAGATGATTAGGGGACTGGAGGCTAAAACATACGATGAATGGTAGCAGGAACTGGGCATGGCTAGTCTAGGGAAGAGAAGGACCAGGGGAGACATGATAGCAGTCTTCCAATATTTGAAGGGCTGCCACAGAGAGGAGGAGGGGGTCAAGCTATTTTTCCAAAGCACCTGAAGGCCAAACAGGTGATAATGGATGGAAACTGATCAAGGAGAGATTCAACCTGGAAATAAGGAGAAATTTTCTGGCAGTGAGAGCAATCAACCAATGGAACAGTAGTTGCCTTCAGAAGTTGTGGGAGCTTCATCACTGGAAGTTTTCAAGAAGAGACTCGGCTGTCATCTACCAGAAATGGTGTAGGGTATCCTGCTTGGGTGGGGAGTTGGATTAGATGACCTACAAGGTCCCTTCCAACTTCTCTTCTCTTCTCTTCTCTTCTCTTCTCTTCTCTTCTCTTCTCTTCTCTTCTCTTCTCTTCTCTTCTCCTCTCCTCTCCTCTCCTCTCCTCTCCTCTCCTCTCCTCTCCCCTCCCCTCCCCTCCCCTCCCCTCCCCTCCCCTTCCCTTCCCTTCCCTTCCCTTCCCTTCCCTTCCATTCCATTCCATTCTATTCTATTCTATTCTATTCTATTCTATTCTATTCTATTCTATTCTATTCCAGTGAAAAACCATGCAGAAGTTCAAGTCATTGTGTATTGTTTCTATTGAGTTAGACTATTTATCTACTGGCTGAATAATATCCATGGTAGAACTCTTCCCCGTGGTTGTATCTCAGTTTGTTTTCAAGGTAGATGCCAGGCAGTAAACCCAGCTGCCTCTGCATTCAAAGCATTTGCTCCATCCCAGCAATGATTCGACCAGCTAAGTCCAACGTTAGGTGTTCTAAGACGTGTGGCATCAGCTTAGTGAGACTTTGCTTCATTGTAGACTGAGGAATCAGTGGTATCTTTTCAGATGCACATATTGCCATCTTGGTCTAAAGTTTTATTGACAGAAGACTTGGAAAAGCCATCCTGTGCTTCTGCCCATTTCAAAAGTTTCTCAGGTGCCACAAGAGTGTGGTTTTTTTGTCTCTACTGTAGTTTAGGCCAGTGTAGTTAGCGATGTGTAGCTCTGCCGCAGGTGACTGGATTTGCATATTGCATTAGACACAATGCACCTTGATTGGTTTTGACTTAACGTGGTGAGTAAACCACAGCCCTTTTAGTTTCTATACTGTAATGTATCGTTTAATGTGCTGTGCGCTCGATCCATAGTGGGTCTCTCAAACAAACACAGGATTAACAAACACGTATGAATTCAGATTGAGCCATTGTTGCTGCTTGTTGTTGTTACTTTTGTTGCATTGTATAAAGGAATTAGTTTTTTAATTATTTAATGACAAAGTATTAATTACATGTAACATTCTGAGATTATAAGAGACTTATAATTATTAGGAATTATAATATATCATTATAATCATATAATATAATATGTAATTATAAGGAATTATAATTATAACATAAGGGACGAAGTGGCTCAGTGGCTAAGATGCTGAGCTTGTTGATCGAAAGGTCGGCAGTTCAGCAGTTCGAATCCCTAGTGCTGCATAACAGGGTGAGTTCCCGTTACTTATCCCAGCTTCTGCCAACCTAGCAGTTCAAAAGCACGTAAAAAATGCAAGTAGAAAAATACCGTGTTTCCCCGAAAATAAGACCCTGTCTTACATTTTTTTGAACCCTGAAATAAACACTTGGCCTTATTGGCATGCGCTCAAAAGCCCGATTGGCTTATTATCAGGGGATGTCTTATTTTGGGGGAAACAGGGTAGGGACCAGCTTTGCGTTTAGTCATGCCGCCCACATGATCAGGGAGACGTCTTCAGACAGTGCCGGCTCTTTGGGTTTGAAACGGAGATGAGCACCGCCCCCTTGAATCAGAAACGACTAGCACATATATTCGAGGGGAACCTTTACCTTTAACATTCTGAGAGAAATATTTTATATTTTCAAAATGGGGGAATGGGGGAGGAAAAGCATAACTGTCACAGATAAATTATATAACCAATGTTTTATGTCTACCGATCACATTTCCCTTTTTTTTTAAAGTTTATTTGTCTTTCAGAGACAAATAAAAAGCAGAGAAAGCAAAATGTTCCAGAAATGTACTATTTTAATTTTAGCCACTGCCAACAGTGAAACCAATCTATGTGCTGAACTGTTCAATGCGACTCTGGGAGAAAAAATAAAATAAAATCAGATAGTCCTTTATAATTTTTTGGCGTGGATCACTTTCTTATTTCATTTTTAAAGAAAGGGAGGCATTATTATGATTATTATACGCAACAATGTGAAACAGCAACGGCAGGGGTGGGTTCTACTTACCTTTACTACCGGTTCATATCGTACCCGCACATGCACAGATCACTTCTGATGACGTCTGGGTCAGTGGGAGGAGCCTCCCACCAGTTTTACTACTGGTTTTTGCGAACCGGTCTGAACTGGGGGCAACCCACCACTGCCCACAGCCAATTCTATAGCTGATGTTGCCATCACGTTCTTCCCAGGAACCCAGGATGCAGTAATATATCAACATAGTATAGGTGCAGATCCAAACAGTGTTCCATTAATGTTCTATTATTATGGTTCATAGTCAGCCAGATGTTCAAACTGGATTTGGAATTTTTATCCAGCCAATGAATGAGTCTTTCTCAAGGACTTGGCAGATGTTGTTTGATGGTGTTACAGAAATCATTGCAGGATGTAAGCTGTTCCAAGCGGGGCTGCCTTTTGCAATTGACTGATGGTGATTTTGTCAATGCCGATGGTGTTCAAGTGGTGCTCTAGAGTGTTTGAGATTGCACCCCAAACTCCCATTACTATTGGTACTATCTTTGCTTTCTTTTGCCACCATCGTTCTATTTCTATTTGTAGGTCTTTGTGATTTTCATCCCATTCTTTTTCTTCTACTCTGCTGTCTCTGGGTATTGCAACATTCACTCCTAAGGCATTATTATTATTATTTATCATTATTATGGGGACAAACACAAAAGTTGAAACAACTAGTTAGGCAGGGGGAGATAAAAACTTGAGTAAGTAGAGAGGCGTTCTGTCTTTTTCACACACTTGATGACAGCTTCAAGATAAACTAGAAAGCCAAAGTTATGAATGCTGATTTTTTTTTTTTTATAATAAGGGTATAATAACAGAATCTTGCAAATCTGAAGACTTCCCCACTCCCCCCCCCACTCCCTTTATCTTCATGAGCAATAAGGAGAGTCAAATCTCAACTGCTTTCTCAAATTATATTTCTCCCTCAAACTAAAATTGCTTTTATCTGAGCGTTGTCTTGCTTGTAGCTCTTCCATGCTCTTCCATGCTCTGCCCATTACACTTCTTAACTGTTTAATACATAGAGCTTGAAGAGAAATGGTGATAGAGCACTTTCCTAGGGCATAGAAGGGTTCAGATCAGTGGTGGGTTCTAACCAGATTCTCTTTGTGCATGCGCTTCGCATGTGAAGTGGCATGTGAAGCCATGTCGCCCGGCACATGCTGCCTTGCCTGTCTGTCTTCTGGGTTTCTGGCATGCATGCACGCACGATGATCAGCTGTCCTTTGCGTGCGTGGCAGTGCCGAAAACCAGTGTGCACATGCGCACCAGCCAACTGATTGTTGGGTACGCATACACGCCAGAACCCGGAAGTTGGATTTTCCAGAGCACAATCCCTTTGTGCGCGCAGCAGTGCTGAAAACCGGCCTGTGTATGTGCACCGGTCAGCTGATCGTTGGGCGTGCATGCACGCTAGAACCCGGAAGTTCGGCTTTTCCGGAGTGCGGCCCCGATGAGCTTGTGCACAAACACACACAATGTTTCCACATGACCTTTTCGTCACTCGGTGCTGAAAAGGTTCGCCATCACTGGTATAGGGTTTCCTGCTTGAGCAGGGAGTTGGACTACAAGACCTCCAAAGTCTCTTCCAACTCTGTTATTCTGCAAGTCCAGTTAAGTGTGGTTAATCCATTCAGTCATTGTTAGATAAAATGTGTGTAATCTCAGACTTTGCTAACAGCGTTCACCTATGGTTTTCTGCCTCCTTTTCTTTCTCCCAGGGGCTAGATTGGAGTGCAGAGATGACAGCAATGGTGAGTTTTAACTCCCTTCCTTTGTTCCCATTCTCAAGTTCTCACTGGGGATAACTGTTGGAAAACGTGCCAGATTCAAACCTTCTCTTCAGCAGACTTGGTTCTGGTCAGACAACACACTAAACCCCAAAACAGCAAACCCCATGTTGGTCTGGCATGTTCTTCAAAGTCCAGTCTGTGTAATTGTAGGTGCATCATCACATGAAGTTTTCAAGAAGAGATTAGGTGTCCACTGTCCAGAATGGCATAGGGCTGTGATGACAGATCTATGGCACATGTGCCAGAGGTGGCACCAGAGCCATATTGGTGAGCATACAAGCATTGCCCTCGCTCAGCTCCAGCACGCATGCGCACGCTGACCAGCTGATTTTCGGGCCTTCTGGGCCCACCGGAAGTCGGCAAATGGGCTGTTTCTGGCCTCCGGAGGGCCTCCGGGTGGTGGGGAAGGCTGTTTTCGCTCTCCTGAGGCTCCTAGAAAGCCTCTGGAGCCTGGGGAGGGCGAAAAAACAGGCCTACTGGGCCCACCATGCCATCACATGCCAAAAGCGGGGGGGATACAGGGGGGTCACGCATGCATGCCCAGGGGGACAGGGCACATAGAATTATGGGTATGGGCATGCGCGCACGCGACCACCCCACACTCCCCTCGCTTTTGGCATGCGATGGCAAAAAGGTTAGCCATCACTGGCATAGGGTCTCCTACTTGGACAGGGGTTTTACTTATTTATTAAATTTATTTGCCGCCCATCTCATATCGAAATGAATCTGGGCGGGTTGGAGTAGAAGACCTCCAAGGTTCCTTCCAACTTGGTTATTCTATGTTCCAGCTATTTTCCTGTTCCCTGTGCTATGTAAATCCAGCAAATCAGGCCAAATGAACTTAATTATGGTCCAGGAGTTAAATACGGGAAAATACATGCAAACATAGCCAAGGTGTCTCTATACCCAAAACTAAAGCATGAATTGCCTCCACTAAGCAGGCTAACATGCAGTTGTGCATTTTAGTGCTGCGTGAACTTGCAGCCGAAAGGATTCCCAACTTCTGCTGTTGCTAGGCTGAATCTTTCCTCCCCTTTGCAGTATCCCAGATTGTTGACTGAGGTTTGGCACGATCAAGGCAGATGTGATCTTCATCTTGCAATTTCATTCTCAGACTGGCACCTTCAGGCCTGTTTCGGAAGAGGAGCAGGCTTTGCGGACTAAACTCGAGCGGCTGACCACCAGCGACCATGGTCCTGTGTTTGGGAAGCATGAGAAGATCCCTGCACACACCCTGCAGAAGGTGAGCATCGTGGGGAAATTGGGGAGAACGACAGAAGCAGGAACCCAAGGACCGTTTGCAGAGGCGGAAGATGGGCAAGAAAAGCATTTAGCACAGATCCATTGGCCAGCTGGCATTGCCACTCGTTTTTTTTTTATCCTGATCAGACGTCCTGCTTTTGAGAGGACTGTAAATATATACTGGGCTGCAAGTTCCTTCTGCCATTTTGCATGTCACTCAGACCTTTTAATCTAGGCTCAGCTACCTAACATTGATCATCTTACTCATTTTAAGAGCTGTAAACATTTACTTCACAGCCATGGCCACTTAATCTTAAAATCCTGTAATGTTAAGCCAAGCCTAGGTGTTAGAGGGAAGTATAATTACTTTCCTCCTCTTCCTCCTCCTCCTCCTCTTCTTCTTCCTCCTCTTCCTCCTCCTCTTCCTCCTCCTCCTCTTCTCCTCCTCCTCATCCTTCTCTTCTTCCTCCTCCTCCTCCTCCTCCTCTCCTCCTCCTCCTGCTGCTGCTGCCATATCCATCATCAGATTTTGGTGATCCTATTTCTATCAACAGCCACATGAAAAAGTGCTGCTGAGTTTTGTCCAAAGCAGTCCCTTTAGATTTTGAAGCCATGATGTGGCTTCAAAACCTGCAGCCAGGTTCTTCTGCCTGGACCTTGATTGCCTTCAATCTTTCCCTATCAGCCACTGGATGGCACCAAACTCCAAAAAATAGGGCAACGTTAACTACAGTACTGTATTGTAAGCTCCGACTGAAACTGTTGACTCTACTTGGATGTCGGTTCACTCTAGTTCAAAATGTTGGTTTGATTCACAACCACTCTTGGTATGGAAGAGGAACCATTACTTTTAAAGGATAATTCCCCAGGTGTTTAAAAATGTTCCTTGTTACATATAAATAACAGTTAAAATTTGGTTTCCACTTTAGGAAGAACTCTGATGCTGCATCCAGATTTCAGGTTGTGTACTATAAAAAATTTTTGTGGGGGGAGGTATCTTTTGCTAGAAAGGGTTCCTCCAGTTAATGACAAAAGGACTCCAGGCAGTCCTGGACTTAAAACCACAACTGAGACCTGAATGGCCGTTGCTAAGAAAGTGAGTGGTGCCCGATTTTTCAGCCTTTTCTGCCACAGTTGTTAACGAAATCACTGCAATTGTTAAGTTTTACTCACAGAGTAAATCCAGTTGAAGGTGCGGTGGCTCAGTGGCTTTTATGAAGCTGGAGATGGTCTCTGCTCCAGCAGTTCAAGTCCTAGCGCCATTCGCCTCAGCTTCTGTCCACCTAACGGTTTGAAAGAATGCTCTATGTGAGTAGATAAATAGGTGCCACTTTGGTGGGGAGATGAGTCGGTGTTCTGTGCAGGTAGTCAGATTTCTGCTGGCTCTGAACCTTCCCAGCTGCAGCGCTTGTTTGTGTGGTGGTTCCAGGAACTGAAACAGCTTTGGATGATGCTGTAGGAAGAGCCTCTTGTCCTTCTTTCTGGTGAAAAGCCAGCTCGCCCTCCTTGTGTGCAAGCATTTCCAACGACAGAGATTGTCCCTTGGCATCCAAACTACTACTCTGCAATAGCATTGTTGTCTCCTGGCTAATGTAACAATGCCATATGCTAATGATAATAATAATAATAAGTGAATCCTGCTTTCCCCATTGACTTTGTTTGTTGGAAGTCAGCTGGGAAGGTCACAGATTATGATTGCATGACCTTGAGACCTTGTAACCACTGTAAATACCTGCAGGTTGCCAAGAGCCCACACTTTTGTCAAACAGGGATGCTACAACTGTTGTAAGTGCAAGGACCGGCCATAAGTCACACTTTTCAGTGTCTTGTAACTTTGAACAGTCACTAACACATGGTTGTAACTTGAGGACTGCCTGTACTTTCCCAGGAAAAGCAGAGATTCCAGTATAATCCTCCAACTCATTGTCTGTCTGTCAGATTACCTTTGCCTCTCATCCCTAGGCTAAAGATGAATTGAACGAGACCTCAGAGAAACGTGAATTAGCAATCAAAGAGCTTCAGGAGCTTATCCAGGAGAAAGCTAAAGATGGCGACGACATTTGCAAAGCGGTTGCTGAGAAAATGCAGGGGAAGGAAGAAGCTTTCCTCCTCCGTTTCATACGTGCCCGCAAGTTTGATATCAGCAGAGCTTATGATTTGATTAAAGGTGAGAATTCTTCCATTGGACCCTTCCCTGCAGACATACAGTTCCATAACTATCACTTTTTGGGGGTTGAAGTTTATTTACTTACTGATTTCAATGATTTTTACAGCTGTACAGCTCATAGCTTGGGTGGCGTGATGCTCAGTGGGTAAGAGGCTGGGCTTGTTGGCAGGAAAGCTGATGTTTGAAAGCTGAGTGCTGTGTGATGGGGTGAGCTCCCGTCCTCGCCTAGCTCCTGCCTACCTACCAGTTTGAAGCAGTGGTGAAATCCAAATTTTTTTACTACCGGTTCTGTGGGCATGGCTTGGTGAGCATGGTGTGGCTCGGTGGGCATGGCAAGGGAAGGATACTGCAAAATCTCCATTCCCACCCCACTCTGGGGCCAGCCAGAGGTGGTATTTTCCGGTTCTCCGAACTATTCAAAATTTCTGCTACCGGTTCTCCAGAACCTGTCAGAACCTGTTGGATTTCACCCCTGGTTTGAAGGCATGCAAATGCGAACAGGTAAATAGGTACCACTTTGGTGGGAGTATAACAGTGCTCCGTGTTATCACGCTGACCACATGACCATGAAAATGTCTTTGGACAGCGCTGGCTCAAAGGGCCCTTGAAACAGAGATGAATGCTGCACCTTAAAGTCGGTGACAACTAATGGAATCAAATCCACAGGGATTTCTTTCTTTTCTTTTCCAGCGGTGTGTACAAAGATTAAAAACATCACAATATACATTCATGATTTTACACTCAAACAACAACCCTGAAAAGAAAGCCATACCACCAACAGAGCTAAGCTAACTGCCTGAGCCAAAAGTCTGGAGGAACAATTAGGTTTTCTGAGCTTTATGAAAAGCTAAAAGACCACCAGGATTTCTGGGAAACGCTGTTTTATAAGGCAGATGCAGTCACATAATTGCGCAGCTCTGGGGTTCCAACAAGATGGCATTGTGTTTTTCCATCTTCAAATAATTTTATTACAATTTACAAAGCATACACATAAAAAAATAACATAAACTAACGATCAATGGAAATTGTAAAGAATAAAAAGAGAACAGGGATAGAAGTGTCAAAATGTATAAAGGAAAGGAAAACACCAATCTATATAAAGAATGACTTTCTTCCAAGGATAATAAAGAATGTTTACACTCAATTCTTAGTTTAAGACTATAATAAAATGTCCATTTCCCTCAAAAAAAGTGGGAAATAAAAAAAATATTTCCCCCCTTTTCAAGATTTAACAATCAACAAATCCACATCAAATTTTGATATATTTTTTTCCACCTTCAAAAAGTCCCCCAAAAGGGCTTCCAATTACGGATGAATTTCTTCAGTGATTTTCCTGTCACGAGGGCCATTCACTTGGCCACCGTCGCCAATTCTGCCATCTTGATTAACCCATTCCTCTGTTGCGGAATTCCTCTATTGTGGAATGTGACAATATTAAGATAGCATTGTTTGATGGACAGAACCTGGAGCCTGCCTTCCCTGCTAGATCTGGTGGGATGAGCAGGTGGGAGGTGGGAGGGCAGGTGATCCCGCAAACATCATAGGTGACAACCAAAACCTTGAATTGGATTGGATTTGGAAGCCAACTGGGATGAGTTATATTACTTGGTCGCCACGATGTAAAAAAAAAGATGTTGAGACTCTAGAAAGAGTGCAGAGAAGAGCAACAAAAGTGATTAGGGGACTGGAGCAGAGGTGGGTTTCAGCAGGTTCTGACCAGTTCTGGAGAACTGGTAGCGGAAATTTTGAATAGTTCAGAGAACCGGTAGTAAAAATTCTGACTGGCCCCGCCCCCATCTATTCTCTGCCTCCCAAATCCCAGCTGATCGGAAGGAAATGGAGATTTTGCAGTATCCTTTCCCGGGATTGGGGAGGGAATGGAGATTTTACAGTATCCTTCCCCTGCCACGCCCACCAAGCCATGCCATGTCCACCAAGCCACGCTCACAGAACTGGTAGTAAAAAAATTTGAAACCCACCACTGGACTGTAGGCTAAAACATATAAAGAACAGTTGCTGGAATTGGGTATGTCTAGTCTGATGAAAAGAAGGACTAGGGGTGACATGATAGCAGTGTTCCAATATCTCAGGGGCTGCCACAAAGAAGAGGAAGTCAACCTATTCTCCAAAGCATCTGAGGGCAGGACAAGAAGTAATGTGGGAACTGATCAAGGAGAGAAGCAAGTTAGAACTAAGGAGAAATTTCCTGACAGTTAGAACAATTAATCAGTGGAACAACTTTCCTCCAGAAGTTGTGAAGGCTCCAACATTGGAAGTTTTTAAGAAGAGATTGGACAACCATTTGTCTGAAGTAGTGTAGGGTTTCCTGCCTAAGTAGGGGGTTGGACTAGAAGACCTCCAAGGTCCCTTCCAACTCTGTTATTCTATTTCTACTCAAATTGCGGGTAGTAGCACTATCAGAACAGAATAGATCAGAATAAAAGAGTTAGAAGGGGCCTTTGAGATCTTCTAGTCCAACCCTTGCTCAAGCAAGAGACCCTATACTGTTTCAGCCAAGTGGCTGTCCAGTCTCTTCTTAAAAGCCGCCAGTGTAATAGCTCCACCACCTCCATTCGTAATAGATGTCATTACAATACTATTTGTCTACTTGCCAGCTAGAAACTACTTGCCAGAGTTTCAGATTTTTGCGATAGACGGTCTGCAGAGGAGTTCTGTTTGCACTTACTTTGAATGTCCTTTGAAACATCTGTACAAACTGGAATCCAGATAGAAGCGGGTCTTTTGTTCAAAGTGATTCTTCTATTCACGTTTTTTTTTTTTAAAAAAATTGATTTATATGCCGCCCTTCTCCGGAGACTCAGGGCAGCTTACAGTGCGTTAAGCAATAGCCTTCATACTTTTGTATATTTTATACAAAGTCAGCTTATTGCCCCCACAAACTGGGTCCTCAATTTACCTACCTTAGAAAGGATGGAAGGCTGAGTCGACCTTGAGCCTGGCAAGATTCGAACTTACTTTAATTGCAGACAGCTGGTGTTAAATTACAGTGCCTTTGTCTGCAGAGCTATCCAGGCTCCTTTTTTAAAGTTTAAAGTCCATGTGTGTAAAATTACATTTTTTAATCCAGGTTATGAATTTTAAAGATTATGGTCATGCCCTTGGCTTCCTTCAAATTAAAATGGGTAATTTCTGTATCACAACAAAAGCATTGAGTTTACTGAGCTATTGATTGGAGTCAATGAACTTGTTGTTCAAAGCAGGCAGTTCTTAACTGGAAAAAAACCCCTTCCTGTCACCAGTTCCACCTTGGAGACATCAAGTTTTAATTTGATCATTGAGCCATCAGTTCATGTAGCATCTCTAAATGTGGCACTGTTAGACCCTCTATCCCTAACTCTAGGTTACGTCAACTTCCGTCAGCAGTATCCAGAACTCTTTGAAAACCTGGTGCCCGAGGCAGTACGGTGTACCATTGAGGCTGGCTACCCTGGCATTTTGTGCAACAGGGATAAATACGGTCGAGTGGTACTACTGTTCAACATACAGAACTGGGATTATGAAGAGATCACGTTTGACGAGGTTGGTATTTGTTTGGGAAAGGTGTTCCATCTTTTTGCAGGCTTTTTCTAAGCCTTTTAACAATCATAGCTCCTCCTAACGCAGAGAAAGCGCTGTGGCTCTCCAGATTGTGGCTCAATATCGGCAATTGACGATATTTCTCATCTTTGGCAAGGCAACATCTGGGATGGAGAACATCTGGGTGCAAACTGCAAACAGAGAAGGGAGATGCAGGGGTGGGGCTGCTGGGGGTTTGCAGGGGTTCGGGAGAACCTCTAGCCAAGATTCTGTGCAGTTTGGAGAACCCCAAATCCCACTCCTGGCTGGCCCCACCCACCCCGCCCCGTACCTCCCAGGAGTCCCCACACGGCCCGTTTTGGATGTAGGTAAGTGCAGGGCGTGCATGGAGGCTCAGAGAGGGTGAAAAACGGGCCTACCGGAAGTTTGGGAAGGGCCTCCAGAGGGCCTCTGGAGCCTGGGGAGGCCATTTTTGCCCTCCTGGAGGCTCGAGAAGAGCCTCCAGAGCCCGGGGAGGACAAAAAATACCCCCCTACAGGACCCCACAAATCCAATCCTACCCTCTTTGATGATGATTACGACTTTACTTGCATCACCAACGCATAGTTTTATAGTTGGTGTTTCAAAGCCAACGCGGTAGAGGAAGTCCATGAATGTGTTGGAGCCTGAGCTGCTACTCTCCCATGGTTTTACTACAGATCCTCCGTGCCTACTGCGTGATCTTGGAGAAGCTGCTGGAGAACGAGGAAACTCAAATCAACGGCTTCTGTATCGTTGAGAACTTCAAGGGATTCACCATGCAGCAAGCTTACGGTATCAAGCCTTCTGAGCTGAAGAAAATGGTGGACATGCTACAGGTGAGCCTGATCTCCTTGCCATGGCAAGCTGCAGAGATGGAACCACATCTGGAAATTTATTTATTTTATTTATTTTAAATTTATATACCGCCCTTCTCCCTGAGGACTCATAAAATACAAATATTAAAAACAATTAAAATATATATAAATTTGGCCCAAAATTAAAAATACAAACCAATTAAAACATTTAAAATTTCTTCTTAAGCCAGCCCGGCTTGCTGGAAAAAGTGGGTTTTAAGGGCACGGCGGAAGGCACTGAGGTCTTGGATTCTCCTTATCTCTGGGGGCAACTGATTCCAGAGGGTAGGTGCCCCCACAGAGAAGGCTCTCCCCCCTGGGGGTCACCAGCCTACATTGATTGGCTGATGGCACCCCGAGGAGGCCCTCTCTGTGGGAGCGCACGGGACGATGGGAGGTCGTCGGTAGCAGCAGGCGGTCTCAAAGATAGCTAGGCCCGATGCCATGGAGCACTTTAAAGGTGATAACCAGCACCTTGAAGCGCACCCGGAAGACCACTGGGAGCCAGTGCAGCTCGCGCAGGAGCGGTGTTACATGAGAGCGCCATGCTGCTCCCATCACTACCCGCGCTGCTGCATTCTGGACCAGTTGGAGCCTCCGGGTGCTCTTCAAGGGGAGCCCCATGTAGAGAGCGTTGCAGTAGTCAAGGCGAGAGGTGACGAGGGCATGAGTGACTGTGCACAGGGAATCCCGATCAAGAAAGGGCCGCAACTGTCGGATCAGGCGAACCTGATTTTGCCCTAAATTAAGACAGTCATGCTAGAATATATGGCATAGTAGTACAAAATGGAGCCCTGGGGAAGGGTTGAAGTCAATGGACTTCTGCAATATTCTTTGCCATCTAACAAAGGGGCTCCAGGAAATCCTTTGGGTCAGGTCTGTAGAGGTTCTAGTCATCCAGTTCATGGTTGTCTCAAAGGTGCTTTTTCAGGAGGCAACTGGATTTCCTTGTTTTTTCTTTTTTCTTTTGAAACGTTTCGCTTCTCATCCAAGACACTTCCTCAACTCTGACAGCCCTGTCCTTCCACCCCCCACTATCCTGTCAAGAGCTGAAGAAGCTTCTTGGATGAGAAATGAACCGTCTTCAAAAGAAAAAAAAACAAGGAAGTCCAGTTGCCTCCTGAAAAAAGCACCTTTGGGACTTTTGGATCAGGATTTACAGTAACTCAGTTGTCTGTATGTAAACAATAGGACTATGCAGATCTTTGCAGGGATGCTTTGCTTTAACCAAGTTGCATTGTTTTGTTTGCTCTTTGGTGCTCTTGATTAATGGATGCAATCAGCAAACCCCAAAAGAAGGTTAGATTTATCTGTAAAGACCCACCCCATCAATCATGTTAAGAAAATAGCTAAGTCTGAGCTAATCTATTTGGTCCACCTAAGTCTTCCATGCCTGAATTGCGAGATGGGTGGCAAATATACTGCTCAAAAAAATAAAGGGAACACAAGCAGAGGACATCCGAGATCTGAATGAATGAAATAGCCTTATTAAATACTTTGTTCGTTATATACAGTAGTTTTCTGTTCCCTTTAGTTGTTTGAGCAGTGTATAAACTACTGTATGTAAAGAACAAAGTATTTAATAAGGCTATTTCATTCATTCAGATCCCGGATGTCTTCTGCTTGTGTTCCCTTTATTTTTTTGAGCAGTGTATATTTGATACATAAATAAAAATAAATATTATAGAACTCTCTGTCCAGGATAGGCAGCACACACTCTTCTCAAACACTCCTTACCAGAGGTGGGTTTCAGCAGGTTCTGACCAGTTCTGGAGAACCGGTAGTGGAAATTTTGAGTAGTTTGAAGAACCGGTAGTAAAAATTCTGACTGGCCCTGTTCCCATCTATTTTCTGCCTCCCAAGTCCCAGCTGATTGGGAGGAAATGGGGATTTTGCAGTAACGTTCCCCTGGAATGGGGTGGGAATGGAGGTTTTACAGTATCCTTCCCCTGCCATGCCCACCAAGCCATGTCATGTTCGCCAAGCCATGTCCACAGAACTCGTAGTAAAATTTTTTGAAACCCACCACTGCCCCTTACAGTAATCAAACCATAGACCTGGTTGAAAAAGACCAGTTAACTTTTAGATGATAGGAGAGAGAGATGTTGCTACCATCTAGAGAAGAGCCATGGTGGGACAGTGGTTAGAATGCAGTATTGCAAGCTAACTCTGCTAACTCTGCCGACTGCCAGCAGTTCGATCCCAACCGACTCAAGGTTGATTCAGCATTCCATCCTTCCAAGGTCGGTAAAACAGGGACCCAGATTGTTGTGGGCTGACTCTGTAAATGCTTAAAGAAGGCTGTAAAGCACTATGAAGTGGTATATAAGTCTAAGTGCTATTGCTATTGCTAGAGGTCATCTGCATTGTTGCAAGCTAGACCTGGTGATCTTAGCCTTGCCAGGACTCTCTTACAAAATATAAGACTTTTCCAGCTAAAAATGGACACGAGGGGATGGAGATGACTTCCTAGTCACAAATTGTTCCTTTTTTGACCCAGTTGCTGAGACTGTTCACTGCCAGAATCATCAATGGGGAGATTTGACTAGTTTAGTGGATGAGGTCTTGTGTGAACAGGGCTAAGAAGAAATCTTGGTTTCTGGATAGATGAGATCTTGCTTAAGACACCTTCCATTTTTCTGGCTTTCACATTTATCTTTGCAATTCCCAGGATTCCTTTCCAGCTCGATTCAAGGCCATTCATTTCATTCACCAGCCTTGGTATTTTACCACCACCTACAATGTTGTCAAACCATTCCTGAAGAACAAGCTTCTGGAAAGGGTGAGTTGTACCACCGAAGACTGCACAATGTCAGGTTAATGTTGGTTTAATGTCAGGCCTCCAAGTAACATCCCCAACGAAAGGATACTCCGAGGCTTGGATTTCCTCAAAGTTACATTTTATTAGAGCTGTCATATTGGCACATCTGGGGAAACCCGAATCTGAAAGCTTCCAGGGTTTCCCCACCCAAAGGAAAGTTCAAGTCCCTGCCCAGCACCCACATGTCCATCCCATGGTCCAATTACAGCATGGTCCCAACTGGACAGGCCTCCCAATTCCAGCCCTCCAGGTGCAGGGCAAGATGGTCTTGACCGGGGGTCAGCAACCTGCGGCTCTGGAGCCGCATGTGGCTCTTTCACCCCTCTGCTCTGGCTCCCTATCACTCAAAATTTGATATTTGCAGGACCTTCTCCTGCCTGCCTCTCACCGTCCTGTTCGCTCACATAGGGCCGCTCTCCTCAGGGTTCCGACGACGAGCCAATGTCACCTTGCTGTGCCCAGGGGTAGGGCGTTCTCTGTGGGTGCTCCCACCCTCTGGAATGAATTACCTACCGAGTTCCGGACGGCTCCTGATCTCCGCTCCTTCCGTCGGGACTTGAAGACTTGGCTTTTCAAACAAATAGGCTGAGACTGATTCCGGGCTTTATTATTTACTACTAATTAATTATTTGGATTAAATTATGATTTTATTGTACTTGTTTCTTAACTTGTGTTCGCCGCCCTGAGTCCTTTGGGAGAAGGGCGGCATATAAATACATTTAATAAATAAATAAATAAATAAATAAATAAATAAATAAATAAATAAATAAATAAATAAATAAATAAAATATACGTCACAACCGCCAATGTGCGACACCTGCCGGCACGCAATTTATTGAGCTTTTCAACCTCCGGTAGGCCAACCATGGATAAATCCAAGAAAAGTTTCAGAAGAAAACGGAACGTTTAATTCAACTACATATGCTAGTTTTGTGGCTGCTGAAGAAATAGTCAGGCACGGGAAGGGTTTTGTGGCTCCCGGTGTTTTCTTTTCTGTGGGAAACAGGTCCAAATGGCTCTTTGATTGTTTAAAGTTGCAGACCCCTGGCCTTGACTCCCTGAGAAAGGAATGTTATTATGACTATGCATCACCCCGTGCTCCATCCAATCCCCCCTCCCAGTTTCCCACACTAGGAAACATGGCAGGCCTGAAGGCACGACGACAGAAATGGCATCCCGGCCTGACACACAATAGTACAGGTAGCCTTCTGCTTATCACAATTCGGACCAGAATTTCCATCACTGGGCCAGTTTTTAAAAAATAGAATAAGCAGCTCCAAAGGAACTCTGTCTTTCTTCTGCTCACTCCTTCCCTCTTTTCCTTTCTTACTCAGGTCTTCGTGCACGGAGATGAACTTGCCACCTTCTTTCAAGAGATAGATGCTGATATCTTGCCGGCTGATTTTGGAGGCAACCTGCCCCGATACGATGGCAAAATGATCGCCGAGAAGCTTTTTGGGGTCTGGATGGACACTGAAGACACAACTCTCTAAAAATGAACAGTCCGAGGGGGAAGATCAGCCTCCGTTTTTTCTTTGAAATGCAGTGCAGTGTAGTTCTCAACATATAACCCAGATTAGGACCAGAATTTCCATTGCTACCACAGGCGTTTTGTTAAGCGTTTTGTTTTGTTAGGGGCCTGGTGGCTCAGCAGACTGAAAGCATTGTGATTAACACCAGCTGCCTGCAATTACTCTAAGTTCGAATCTCACCAGGCTCAAGGTTGACTCAGCCTTCCATCCTTTCTAAGGTAGGTAAATTGAGGACCCAGTTTGTGGGGGCAATAAGCTGACTTTGTATAAATATACAAAAGGATGAAGGCTATTGCTTAACACATTGTAAACCGCCCTGAGTCTCCGGAGAAGGGCGGCATATAAATCAAATTTAAAAAAAAAAAAAAAAAAGCGAGCAGCACACAGTTTTAGAACCTTTTTTTTTTTTTTTTGGCTATGGTTATTAAGTGAATCACACGGTTGGTTCAGTTGAATCCACGTTCTCCCATTGATGTTGCTACTGGGAAGCCGATGCGATCACATGCAACCATCGTAAACACAGCCCGTGACCTACATTTTGATCATGTGACCACGGGGGGAGGGGAATGCTGCGGTGGTCATAAGTGGGACGACCAGTTGTAAGTCCCTTTTTTCCCTAGTGATGTTGTAACTTCAAACGGTCACTAAATGAATGGTTGTAAGTTGAGGACCACCTCGATCGATGGGCCATGCAGATTGTGATCACAAGCTCTATCTCTTTCATTCCTCGTTTCTCCCCTCTCTCGGCCATCAAAGGCAGAGCCCTCCCCCACAACCCCCCTTCCCAAAACAGGTGCTGTCATCCTAGCTCAGCCTTCCCTAGTGAGGATAAGAAAGCAAACCGAAGGAGAAGACCATAGATCACGGAGTTGCGCATCTACAAAGAAGGCACTATGGCTAGTTTGGTTCACTTTGAGCCCAACCGCTGGTGTGTCCAATGGACCAGTTTATTGGCCTTATTCGGATTGGGGCATTGGAAAAGTATGTCTTCATTCAGAGTTGTATATTTTAGGACAGTGATGGCAAACCTTTTCAGCACCAAGTGCCCAAACTGGAACGCTCGCATGCATGCGCCACCCACTTGGTCTTTGGGTTTCCAGAGCTCTGGCATGAACAAAGATCAGCTTGTCGGCGTGCACGCGCGCACCGGAAACCAGAAGAGCAGCTGGCAATGGCGAGCATGCCCATAAAGAGGGCTCTGTGTGCCACCCCTGGCACGTGTGCCATAGGTTTGCCATCACTGTTTTAGGATCACGTTAGTGGACATTGGAAGATGGCTCTAAATCGTGTGTGTGGAGGGAGCACAGGAAGAATTCCTCTGGAACAGAATAGGAAGTCACTGCAGAAACCTTGCAGGCCGACTGAAATATTTTTTCCAGTATTTTTCCAGTATAAATTATGAGTTTCGTAGCCAACAGAAATGGTTCCAATAGCGTGCATGCTTTTGGCTTAAGTTGCTTTAGTAAACGAAACGCGCCAATCACGAGGATTGTTTGTATGCTCCCTGCTTTAAAAGACCAACGTACTTTAAGCAATTAGGCAGGGCAAATCCGAGACAGATGTATTTTTGTCTTCTTTTGCTTACTTTATTGGGTTTCAACAGCTCATCCCCGGGGGAAGAGCCGTACCTCTCTAAGACAGAGCCCTGACTTTGCATTATGGGAGGTCCCAGGCTCTGCTTTCTACTTTCTTCTCATATAGCTGGAAAAAAAAACAAAAAAACAACCCTCCCGCTTACGTAAATCAAGCATCATCTTGCAATTTTTCAGAACCACCATCATCTCATGCCTGCCTGAAATCTCTTAAGGTTCTAATCTCCTCCTCCTGAAAGTCTCAGCTAAGAACAAATCGTGAGACTTTGCAGCCTCTTACATAACTTCATCCCCTTCAAAAATAGTTTTTGTTAAGATCACCTTCATTTGATGGAAGCTTCGACGGACGCTGAAGATATTTTGACAACTGCCCAAGAACCAGCCTGGATTTGTCCACTTATCACAACATGTAACTCTAGCCTCTGGTTCTTACTATTTTTCTTACTATTAAGTCCTGGGTTTGTCTAAACACTGTGCCAGAATTATATTACAGATAGTCCTTGACTTATGTCCCTGAGACACCGCAACCATCATATGTAAATAGTTGCTGAGCGCCTAAATTTTGAACATGTGATCAAATAGGTTGCTGCTAAAGTTGCAAAGTGCAAGGATTGATTGCAAGTCACTTTTTTCAGTGCCTTTTGTAACTTCGCTGGCTAAATAAATGGTTGTAAATTGAGGATTACTTCTTCTGTATAGCAACAGCATTTAAGACTTATATGCTGCTTCCCAGTGCTTTTCAGCCCTCTCTAAGCGGTTTTCAGAGTCAGCGTATCACCCTTAACAATCTGGCTCCTCATTTTACCAACCTCGCAAGGATGGAAGGCTGAATCAATCTTGAGCGGGTGAGAATTGAACTGCTGGCAGTTGGCAGAATTAGCTTGCAATACTGCATTCAACCACTGTGCCACCACACCTCTTCATATCTGGCCTCTCATTTGTCTTCCCTGCTCATTCCTCAAGATAATCCTAGAGAAGAGGACAGGCTCTGTGTGTGTGGGGGGGGGGGTTGGTTAGTGGGGGGTCGGCAACCTTAAACACTCAGCACCACAAAAGTCCTAACCGGAAGCCCCCCATTCAATTCTGGAGCCGACCGGAAGTCTGGTTCCCCCACCAGAGTCTCCTCCTAGTGCGGCTTCCTTTTTCCTTTACCTGTCCTAACCGAAAGCCCTACCAATTGTGGAGCTGACAGGCGACAGGGAGCCGCAGCAGAGGGATGAAAGAGCCACATGTGGCTCCAGAGCCGTGGGTTGCTGACCCCTGGGTTAGTGGGTCCTTCAGTCACATGCATCTGAAGATGGTTATCTAATCTGGCCATCTCACACAGAAGGAAACATTCCGCTTCTCCTCTGTCAGATGCTCAGTTTTAAAGACAGTGGTCCATTGCAATTTCCCCAAGTGTAAAATTCAAACCAGGAGCTCAGAGAGAGATATGATCAGTTAACCTACTTATCCACATATCCTCCGCTTGGGGCAATACCCCTTTGTGGTTTGTCAAGGCCATAAATGGAAAGCAAGAATGCTGTCCAAAGAGTAGTCCTTTCTGTTCTCTTGCTTGTTCCACGAAATCAGATCCGTAACGGTCATCCTCTCTTTTCCCTATCCTGCTCCACATGGCTTAAAAATGCTAGGCTTGTTGGATTGGTGGAACAGGCCAACAGGGATAACTCCGAAATAGAAACCATTGGAAGAAACCTACAAGAGGGTCATTCATGAGAAGACTTTGGCGCCGACTCAAGCTAAACAGGACGTACGCTCTGAAGCTGCAGAGAGAAGTGGGGGAGCTTTCTGCCCACCCCCATAGCATAAATTCACTCTCTGGGAGACATAGATAGAAGGGAGAGATGGGATCAGATGTTCCTTTGCCATCTCTCAGACATTAACTCCCCCAGGAGATGGGCAAGACTGAGACTTCCATTTCTCAAAGTTAGCAGATACCTGGGAACTGCTGAATTCCTTAGTTTTTCAACTTGTGGCTTGCTCCAAACCCAGACAGGGCATAATGATCTTCCCCCAACTCACAGAAAATTTAAACATTCATTCCCCAACCCCCCTGAGAACTGGGAGAGGAATTTAAACAGATCCCTTGCAATCTAGCAATATGATGTACTTATTTAATCAGGCCTTTAGACTAGAAGTTTTGTGAACGCTGTCACTGTGTTTGTTGCATGTAGAAGAGAAACTGGTTTTCAAAAATCTCCTTTGTTATATACAACTTTGCCCATTTTTTTGTCTCACATTCTACTACATTCTACTATAATACTATTATTACCAATCCTATTATTTCTTTTTACATTGAGCACTACGGTTAATTGTCTCTTTACAGCATACAAGCATGTTAGCCAAAATGACACTAATACGAAAACATACTAATCTGTTTGTAAATTTTTAGCTGATTTTATGAGAAATCTGGCACAGGAACTATCTGCAATAGGTGCTGTCTATGTTATTTCACTTCACGCTTCCTAAACTGGGAAACATACAAAAAGTTAAATTACACTGCAACATTTCCAGTGAATTATAAATGGTGAGCTAAATTAAATGCGTAAAATAAAAAATTATATATCTTCAAGATCATCCCTTTTAACATTCAACATTTGTCAACCTTAAAATGGGAGCACCCATTGGTTACCATTCTCCAGAGATTTGTGGTATTATAATTTCAGACACAATAAACAATAAACTATTTCAGGTTAAAGTATGTGTTTGTTCAATGTGCATATTGAACAGAGACTGATTATTTGCAGTTAAGTATCGGAATCGGAAATAACACCAATGAATTTGGCTCTGTCACCCAATAACAATTCTGCATTTGTTTGGTTTTTTGGTAGTTTGACCTCTGGGGAAAAAATAAGACATACAGGAAATCTAAATTCCAAGTCTACTTTGTTGTTGTTAGTTGCGAAGTCATGTCCGACCCATCGCGACCCCCATGGACAACGTTCCTCCAGGCCTTCCTGTCCTCTACCATCCTCTGGAGTCCATTTAAGCTACTGCTTCAGTGACTCCATCCAGCCACCTCGTTCTCTGCCGTCCCCTTCTTCTTCTTTTGCCCTCAATCGTTCCCAGCATTAGGCTCTTCTCCAGGGAGTCCTTCCTTCTCATTAGGTGGCCAAAGGATTTGAGTTTCATCTTCAGGATCTGGCCTCCTAAAGAGCAGTCAGGGTTGATCTCCTCTAGGACTGACCAGTTGGATCGCCTTGCAGTCCAAGGGACTCGCCAGCACCAGAGTTCAACGGCTTCAATTCTTTGACACTCAGCCTATTTATTACTCAAGCCTATTTATTCCTGTCCAAATAAAGTTAAATGATGAGACACCATCCTCATTGCGAACTCAGTTAATGTCTTTATTATTTTTTTTAAGCAAAGAAATTCCATTGAATCAAATAACAAAATTACTGTTCTGCAATAGCCTTGATTGATCACACACAGAACAAAACCAACAACAACAACAACAACAACAAAACAAAAAAGAGAAATATATCAAGGACACACTTTTCTAAACTGGAAAGATTAGCAGATTTAGAAAAAAATTGCATTGCTAGTTGCAAAAACGTCACCCCCTCAGACAAACCGGTTCAAACGACGAAACCGGTAGTGAGGATCACACACAAAAATTCTCCAGGGCAGCATTTTTTATTTCCAAAAAGGAATTTGGAATTGTGGAAGTTAAGGGTTCCCATAATAGGTCACGGAACCCAAAATTGCCGATAAAAATAAAGCGGAATCGAAGTCCAACAGCTTTTTTTTTTTTTAAAAAAAGAAAGAAAAAAAGGGGGGAGGGAAGTCAAAAACGCTCAACTTACTCCAATAAGGCAGCTGCAGTGACACAAATGAAAAAAGAGCACAGGTGCCGGTCAAACTTCCTGAGGTGTTGGGTCCCTCTATTACAGTGTTTCTCAACCTTGGTAGCTTGAAGATGGGTGGACTTCAACTCCCAGAATCCCCTAGCCAGCAGCGCTGGCTGGGGGATTCTGGGAGTTGAAGTCCACCCATCTTCAAGCTACCAAGGTTGAGAAACACTGCTCTATTAGGACATGTTCAAGAGGAAAAGAAGGGGAAAAAAAAGAAAAAAAGAGCGTAATAAATCAGGATTTCCCCTCTTTTAAAAATTGTGCTTTTTTTTTTTTTTTTAAATCAGGAGAAAAAAAGATTTCCCAAAACGCCTACATGGATTTGCTATCAAACGCAACCCATTTTTAACAGCTGGAATGACGCTAGCTTGGAAGGTCAGAAAAAAAAAATAACGTATGGATACGACCCGTTTAGTGGGTTAATTTCTCATACGTTTTCAGGCAATGTTATGACTTACTTTACTCTTTGATATGAAACTGGACCTCTCTGGATAACGGCACGATTTGTTTGGACAAACCCAGATGTTACTGGGTACAACATCAAAACAAAAGCAAAATGAACGCCGCGCCCTCCAATACAAGGTTTTTGTCCGCAGTTCAGGAATCCTGAGGAGGGGGGGGGGAATGGTGTTCTACTAAGACTGAAATCAAGTAAAGCTGCTGGGACTTTGGTGGTCCTAGGACGTGAGGATCTGAAAGGAAATAAAGATAACATATCCTCTGGTAGATCAGAGAGAAAAAGGAAAGGGAATGGCAATTCTCTGTTCCAGCTTAGCCAAATGCTGCCCATGGATGCTTGTGCCCTTGAATGAAACCAGCAGAAAGAACAGAAACATTTAAAATGGAATACACATAATTCTCTAAGGAGATTCTTCCCCAGCTGATTTATTTTTATTTTACCATGAATCTCATCAAGGACACTTCAAGGGAAAAAAAAAAGAAAAGAAAAAAAGACAGACTTAAATCAAATTAATTCCAGGCAGAAACACATATAGCACAAAAGGTAGTTTTGCAAAGAACAAAAGAAGGCGAAGGGCTCCGATATCAGCACAGCGCTGGGTGAGAATCCTTTCCTTTTTAAAAATGAGCAAAGAATTCTCCCTTCTCCGGTTGCTCTAACCAGCAACAAACTGCCTTTCGTTCTGATTAAGAGGGTCTGCAGGAAGTGAACTAGATTTGCTTATTAAGACCATCACGTTAACATATGCGAAAGAAATAGAAGGCGGGAGGAGGAAAAAAAAAATGATATGGACCCCTTCAATCTTCCTCTTTTTTTGATTATCACTGCTAACTGCCAGGCTATTCATTCCCCTTTAAAGTCAAGCTGTCTCGTTGAGGTATTTTCCTATGATAAAAATCCCACCCAGGGACTGGAAGCTCCTCCGTTCTTGCACATCTAAAGGAAGTGAACAATAACTGAGCTCACATCGTTCTAACAATGTAATCTAAGCAACAAAAAAAACACGCTCTCGTGTTTTGGTCTCTGTATGCGTGAGACAGTTTGGGACGTGTGCTTTTAAACAATTTTTTCCTTTTTTTTTTTGTTGTTTGACACACGTATGCACATCAAGCAGGTATCTGGGACTAACACATCACTCAGAGTGGGCTGTGGTGACCTGGGGAACACCTGGTCACGTACGCCTTTAGATCAGAAATTCAGAATATCAGAAAGAGGCAATGTTTCTGAGGCCAAGCAGGCACTGATCTAGCTGCTATGGGAATAGCAGTGCCATCACTAGAAGGATAGGGCCAGGATTTTCAGCCCCGCTTTTAAAAAAACAATATACAGATGAAGCTACCAGAGACTTAATGCACCAATGTTACAGTACTTGTTTTAAAGACGGCAGAGATAATGTGGCTGAATTTCAGCAAACGTTAAATGGAAAAGGAATGGAAGGTGAAATACGGTCTATTAGTTGGCTACTCCTGTTTTACATGTAGACCTAAGGAACACTTGTAAACTAGCATGTTATTTGGGAAATGCACATTTGACCCATCACAAGGCTAACTTTAATTCAAAGACAAGCTGCCAAGACATTAATTCTAGCACATTAATTCTTGCCAGGAAAGAGTTCGCTTCTAACTTTTGGTCAACTGGCAAAAGTTGACACGGGATGAACCGTTGAGCTGCAACAACTCATCAGGGGGCATTGATGCAATTCGCAACACCGCCTTCATTAAAAGGGGGAGTATGATGGGCTCACCCCAAAATGTATGAGCAGTAATGTCTCCAGATGCAAAAAAAAACCCCTTCAGTGGAATAATCACCAACTTTCAAACATGCAAAGAAATTCCCTCAAAAAAGATCTTGTCCAGAGGTTTTCCTTTTAACTGAGTTTAAGATAAATGGTGGGAAAACAAAACCGGGTTTGTTTCTTTCAAGCAATATTCTGTTTCACTAAAATAAAAAAGGTTTAATGTCATCTAGGTATATAAATTGGCAACTACCTTTTGCTGGTCAATTTCTCATCGTTCCAATCTTTTCCTTACAGAATTATTTTTTGGGGGAGGGGGAGGAGAGGGGTCTAGAATTGAATTTACCACGATCCAACATGGATTTCTTTTTCGTTGATGCAGCAGAAAATCAGAATCAAATTTGTGATTTAAAAGACATTTCTTGACTGTGTGATTTACTGAAAAGTTTTGATTTTCCTGATAACAGCTGGGACATGCAAGGGTCTTATTACATTTACAGTATGGAGCAAGGGGTTTTTATTTTCCAAGGGGTCGAGTAGTTCTAAATGAATTTAAGTCATGAAAGCAATCCTCATTGAAATTGCTACATTATACAACTGCACAACCTTGCAGCCCAATGTCCAAAATTTAAACAAGGAAGATTAAATTCCTTGTCTAATTGTGCATAAAATCTGCACCTGGTTCAGCATAAAGGCTAGTAAGTGCCTTTACTTGCAAGGAATTTTATAATTTTAATCCATAGCAATTATTTTATCAACTGATGCTCCTTCAGGGTTGTTGAAATATATTATCCCCAGCCATTAAGGAAAAGCTATCAGGAATTGATGGGAGAGCACCAGATTAGAAAAAAGCCTAATTTCATTACATTTATTTCAAATACAAAGCACACTAAAGTTATTTTCCCGAAGACGGAAATGATGAGAAATGGTGTTAAGATTCTTATAGCCTGCTTTTTAATACATCGTTCAGTTGAGGAAAAATAAGTCATGTTCAATTCCTATTTTATATATTGCAGCAAAGAAAACAGTTTAAACATCATGGCGTTTTTTGTTTGTTTGTTTGTTTGTTACTTAAATGGAAAGAAGCATTTGAGGCCATTAAAATGTTCTTCTGCAGCTAAAATCATATGCTTATCTTGGATTTGGTTTCCAGGAAAGTAGAAAGAAATGCTAAAAAAAGCAAATTACCATATTTTTCGGAGTCTTAAGATGCACCTTTCCCCTCCCTAAAAGGGGGTGAAAATTTAGATGCGTCTTATACACCGAATGTAGCTCCGCCCACCCACTGGCCCCCACCCTTTGGCCTCTGCCTCGCAGCAGTTACCTCCTTGCAAGCAAACAGCAAGAAAAAACAGCTCCTTTCAGCTTCAGCACAGCCTAATTAGTGCAAGTTGATTGGCTCGGCGTCCCGACTCTTAGCTGATTTGCTATCAGCTATTTTGCGTAGGGCTCTGCTGCTTGCTGCAAAGAGGTAAATTGCTGGAGCAGATTTTTTTTCCCCTTGTGCTAATCAAGCTATGCTGAAAACGAAAATGAAAGTAAAGCAGGCTGTTTGCTGTTTGCTGCAACGAGGCAAAATTGCTTACAGGCAGAGAGAGATTTCTTTTTCTTCTTTTCCTCACCAAAAAAGATAGGTGCGTCTTTTACTCTGAGGCGTCTTATACTCCGAAAAATACGGTAAGAAGACTGATAAGCAAAATGAGAAGACTGATAAGCAACCATGATGTTGGGGTTGGGGGGTGGGGAGAGAAACTTAATTTTTAAAAATACGCGGCCTAAGCTTCCTATGTGAGAACAAAATAAAATCTGAATTCATTTATTCTGCTTAAGTCACAGAGTTTGTTGAACAGGTCAAGACTGCTTTCAGCCTGGAGCACTTTAATTCCTGATGCGAGAAACCTCTCCTACAGGCAATTATTGCTCAATTTAAAAAACAAACAAACAAACAAGAAAGAAATCCTCACAGACATAGTTACACTTTTTAGAATCTCAAAACCAACTGGGAAGATTACCCCATACATTTATTTTCAAGAAAGACTTCCTAACAGGTTTTTAAAAAAATACACACGAGTGCCTGCTATAATTAAAGTGTCTAGGCAGCAAAAACAAAAGGTAGAAGCAATAAAGTGCTAACTATTATAGGGATTATAATGCGGGGGGGTGTGTGGAATGACTGTTCAAACTGAAATACGCTGTAAGCAAGGAACGCCAAAGCGTCAGTTCAAAAACAGAACTGCGGTTGAAAAATAGTCGAATCGCAACGTTTCACTGTTTTAAGTAATCCAGGCTTCCGAATATGTGTGTGTGTGTGTGTCTGTGTATGAATAAAGATGTGGCTTTTTTTCCCCCACTTTAGGATTGGAAACTTACTCAGTACAAAAATCTGTTTTCTCTATTCTACAGCAGCAAAAAACCTGCTTCTCCACTGTATCTTTATTATTGCATCTCGCCCTAAATTGCCGATGTCACTAAGCTGAAAATTCAAACGAGCACCTTTGGACACAGGGAATTGCAGAAGCCACTAATAGTTAAGGCAGAGGTCTTCAAACTTGGCAGCTTTAAGACCTGTGGACTTCCAGTTTCCAGAATTCTCCAGCCAGCTATGCTGGCTGGAGAATTCTGGGAGTTGGAAGTCCACAGGTCTTAAAGCTGCCAAGTTTGAAGACCTCTGAGTTAAGGCATACAGTACATTTTTTCCCCAAAAAAATATATATAATAATCTACCTCTTTAAACCAAGACAGTTGTGGCTTTCCAAATCTTAATGCACTGCTCTAGTAGGCTGGGGAGGCAAAAAGAATGGGGATGTTTTATTTTCCTCCATCCTTCGCATATAAAAATTCTCTAAAAGAAAGGAAAAAAAAAAGAACAGAGAATTTCGATGGTCACTGGTTTTTTTTTTCCACTTACAGACAGTATTAAAAGGCCTGGGCTAGGAGCACTCACGACTTTTTTTTTTTTTAAATAGAACGCCTCGTTTTAGAAAAGGCAACGATCAAAAGGCTACTTGCTTGAACGTCAAGTAGTAAACTGAGTAGGGAATCTTACCGCCGAGTTCCCCCCCAAAGCTTCCTACCTATGTGGAAAGCCCCAGCGAGAAAAAGAGCAAAAGCGTGTGATTGAATGCACTCAAGTCAGAATTCTGGGATGATCCAAACGGTGTTTTTTTTTTTCTTTTCCAAAGAACATTGCAAACCCTTGAAATGCATCAAACACGGAAGAGTGATAGTTCCTCCTCCCTCGAGGGGGGAGAGTGGGGAGGGGAGGGGCGCGAGATTCCGGAAATTCAAATTCCCCATCGTTCTCCCCTGCTTTGCAAACGGCTGCACCGATGGAGAGCCGGCCGAGATGATTCTATCGGTGCTCTTCTGCAGGTATATAAAGTTTCCCTTTTCTTAGGTGGCAACGAGGTGAAACATAACCACAGAGAAAAGTACATTTCTATCTCGCTAGGCAAAGTTTTTTTTTTTTTTGCAAAAAAAACAACCAGACGAGGTTACTCGTGTTTTCTTGGAAAAGTGTAAGCGTTGGGACATCTTGAGTCTTTCCAAGATGTTCGGATGTTGCAACTGGTTTTAAAACCCTTATAGTAAGCTACAGGCAGCAACCCCTCAGGAGACCGGACGAGTCCCTGCATTGCCTGCCAGCCTGCTCCCAAATCTGTTCCAAACAGCAACATCTTGTGTTTTAGCTCTATTTTGGCATGAAACACTGCGGTCAAATGCCTACATTGAAGATGACCAGGCTTGGCCTAGAAAAAAGCAGGAAGGAAGGAAGGAAGATGAGAACTAAGTCGGAAACAACCTGAAAAGTCTTTGGGATTGTTTATTCTTGGCCGGACGATTGTTCCGTATCTGAGCAATGAGATTTATTCTTCTCCCACTGACAGATGGCGTCTGCGTATTGCACCACAAGCTTATCCATCCAAGTGAGGGGCTCAGGAAAAAGGACGGAGCCCTCAAAGAATCCCAGGTGGCCTCCGTGCAAGGGTAAAACAAACATGACGTTCTCCTGTTTTTCTGGAAAGAGTAAAAAAGAAATGAAGTTTAGAAAGCAATCTCGCTCGCTTTGGACTTTGCCGAAGTCTGTTTTCCAAGGTTTTGTTGTTTTCTTCACTGGGTTGATGGGCAGCCACAAATGATATACCGTGTTTCCCCGAAAATAAGACCCTGCTTTATATTTTTTTTGAACCCCAAAATAAGCACTTGGCCTTATTTTCGGGGAGGTCTTATTATTTTGGGGGAGCGTGGAGCAAGACAGGAATCCTTTTGCCGTCTTACCTGATTTCCAGCTCTGTCTCCCTAACCCTAACCAGAGGAAATGGCGGGGACCAGCTGTGCATGCATTTAAATATTTTTGGGGAGGGCTTATTTTTTTGGGGGGGGGGCTTATTTTAGCACATGCACTCAAAAGTCCAATTGGGCTTATTATCCGGGGAGGTCTTATTTTCGGGGGAACAGTGTACCAACAGCAGTCATTATATCCTGATTAAAAAACCTGTTTCAGTCAAAATGAAAGCCAGGAAATTATAGAAATCAAATCCACTTTTGGTATCTCCAACTGATGTTTCTATTCCCCCCACTGACTATCACTAAGTGTTGTATCTTTTTATTCTTGATGAATGTATTTTATTCTCATGTACACTGAGAGCATATACACCAAAGACAAATTCCTTGTGTGTCCAATCACACTTGGCCAATAAAGAGTTCTATGCTATGCTATGCTATGCTATGCTATGCTATGCTATGCTATGCTATGCTATGCTGTGCTGTGCTGTGCTGTGCTGTGCTATGCTATGCTATGCTATGCTATGCTATGCAGCGCTGCTCTGCTCTATTCTATTCACTCTTTTCTACACTGCAAAATGAATTTATTTATTTATTGATTAGCCCTTGGGCCATATCAAAGTGCAGAGTTCCAGAAACAAATCATTGCAAAAGTTTGGTAAAACAATTTAAACAAAATTGGAATAACGCACGATTAAAAATGCAATTAGAATAAAATACGATCTAAAATGAAATCGGAATAAAATACAATCATTTGAGATACAATTTAAATATGATTAAAATTATATTATAATGTCACCCCTGCATCTACCCAATCAGTCTTAAAACTACTTAAAACTGCAAAGTGGGGTGGCATCCTACAAAGCAAACCGTAATGTGTGAAAAACTTGTGACATTTTTTGTCCCGTGTCATCTCCTGTTGGCCAAAGCTGTGAAAAGAAGCCCCAGCCTGCTTCCATGTGACCCAAAGACCTACAGGCAGTCCTTGACTTACAACAATTGGTTTAGCGACCATTTTAAGTTACAAACGGCACTGGGGGAAAAAGTGACTTATGACACTTGTGACTGTTGCAGCATCCTGTGGCCATGTGGTCAAAATTCAGACGCTTGGTGCCTGGTGTGTATTGATGATGGCTGCAGTGTCCTGTGGTCATGTGATCCCCTTTTGCGACCTTCGCAAAGGGTCCATGGGGAAGCCAGGTTCACTGTACAACATGTTACTAACTTAACAACTGCACTTAACAACAGTGGCAAGAAAGGCTGTAAAATGGGGAAAAGCTCTCTGAACAACTGTCTCGCTTAACAACAGAAATTCTAGGGCTCGATTGTGGTTGAAAGTCAAGGACTGCCTTTATTCTGTAGGGCATTACTGTAAATCAAATGAGTGGCACCGTGGCCTAGTGGTGGAGCTCTCGCCTCACAATCAGGAGGCTGTGAGTTCGATCCTAGATAGAGGCAGATAATTCTCTCTCTGGGCACCATGAGAGTTATATTCTGCTGAATATAACTCTGCATTGGAGACAGGAAGGGCATCCGGCCAGCAAAACACTTTGCTAGCTTCATTCAGTTGCCCCAAATCCACCTCGCAAGGGATTATGGAGTCATTCAAAGACGGTGATGATTACTGTAAATCGAATGCAAAGAGAAGTGAGAACACTGAGCTCACCTTGACACGTTGGGGTATATTCTACACTGTAGTAGGGTTGGAAAGAAAAGTTCAAGCAAAGGTTGGGCCTTACCTGAGAGGGCTCTTGGGATTGTTAAGAGGCTATCATGCACCAAAGGGTCATCGGCAGCATTAACCAGCAAGAGGGGAACAAAGATCTGAAGACCAAAAAGAGCAAGACGTGGGTTTTGACTCATTTATTTCATTGTAAAAAAAAAACATGCATCCTGCTCATAATGTCCTAATGGAGGGCCACCGCTTAGGGCAGAGGTCTTCAAACTTGGCAGCTTTAAGACTTGTGGACTTCAACTATGCTGGCTGGAGAATTCTGGGACCACTGGCTTAGGGAGACCTGAACATGCAGAAACTCACATCCTGTGAACAATGTTAACCGAGATATTTTGTTGAAAACTAAGTCATGGATGAAGAATACAATTCAGCCTGTATTTGTCCCAATGTTTTAGTTACTGCTTCAGTAAGAACGCTTAAATTTATTATTATTTATTAATTATTTATTAATTCAATTTGTATGCCGTCCCTCTCCGAAGACTCAATTGTTATACTACTGCTACTAATTATTATTAGTATAACAATGATCTAATTCTTTAGTTAATCTTTAGATAATCATCGTAAGGTGATTTCTACTGGATGTGCGACTGGTAGAATTTTCTGAAGAGGAAAGCATACAATTCTTCTTCGGATCACTTCTGCGGTTCCTTTAAATGGCATTTATTTAGCATTGAATTTATTCGCTGCCCATCTCGTTTCAAACAGCTCTGGGTGGCTTACAGCATAATAAGCATTTTTTAAAAATATTAAAAACATTCCCTGAGCATTCCCGAGGAACAGACCCTAACGGTATTCAACCAAGGTGAGGGAAAGGGAGACTTATATCCAAAATTATATGTAAACTAATTCACAGATACACCCTCATGGTGTTCATCTTCTTCCACAAGCTTTTTTCCCCCCTTGAAAAGGGATGGGGGAAGAACACATGAAAAAGCCAATTTATAGTCGTACTCAATGGTGGGTTGCCCCCGGTTCGGACCGGTTCTATAGAACCGGTAGTAAAACCGGAGGGGGGCTCCGCCCACTGACCCTGACGTCATCAGAACACTTCTGAGCATGTGCGGCCCCGTTGCGAACCAGTAGTAAAGGTAAGTAGAACCCACCCCTGGTCGTACTTGATATGAATAAACTGCAACATTACTAATTATTACAGAATTAAAGAGAAACTTCCCAAGAGTGAAGACAATTAACCGGTGGAACAGCTTGCCTTCAGAAATCATGGCTGCTCTATCACTGGATGTTTTTAAGAGGAGAGTGGACGGTCACTTCTCTGAAGTGGTGTAGGTTCTCCCGCTTCAGCAAGGGGCTGGACTAGAAGACCTCCAAGGTCCCTTCTAGCTCATTTGCGAAGATTGACTTGAATGTTTTCCAGGGACAACTACTTCCTAATATACCAGCGTGAGGGTCACGGAAAATAGGCAGGAATTTATGCTGAGCAATTTCATATGAATTATTCGGAAGTTTGAATCAGGATATGAAAAGAATAAATCCAATCAAATTTATTTCCAGTTCCAAAATTTCCTTGTTGCTTTCTATTTTCATTACCTTAGAAAGGTAAAGGTTCCCCTCGCACATATGTGCTAGTTGTTCCTGACTCTAGGGGACGGTACTCATCTCCGTTTCAAAGCTGAAGAGCCAATGCTGTCATCTCCATGGTTATGTGGCTGGCATGACTCAACACCAAAGGGGCACGGAACGCTGTTACCTTCCCACCAAAGGTGGTCCCTATTTTTCTACTTGCATTTTTTACGTGCTTTCGAATTGCTAGGTTGGCAGAAACTGGGACAAGTAACGGGAGCTCACTCTGTTATGCAACACTAGGGATTTGAACCGCCAAACTGCCAACCTTTTGATCTACAAGCTCAGTGCCTTAGCCACTGAGCCACCACATCCCCTTATTCATTACCTTACTCTACCATAAAATATGTCACTATATAATTCCCACGAAACATATAACTTTTTAAGGTGATCCTATAAAATCCTCCCTAGAATTATTCTAGCATAGGTGGATATTTGGCCTGCATCTTTTCTTACATGCACTGAAGCTGCACTCCATCTTCTACCCCAAGTCTAAATGACCTCTCCCCACTCCCTATTTTTTTTTTTCCTTCATTTTAAACCGTGGAACCAAAACAATAAATATTCAATACATGTTATGGTACACTTACACTGTGCAAGTAATGCAGACAACTCTCTTGTTCATAATATTCTCTCAGGGAGCCGTAACCATGAAATTTTCTAAGACCAGGAAAAAAAAACAAACAGAAGCACGGGAAAGAGTTAGTGAATTATAATTGAATCATTGATGATGGTGGGGGGGGGAGAGGGAGAGAGGGAGGGAGGGAGAGATTTAAAGCACTGGGAAATCATGAATTCTTAGGCAGAAATAGCTCAAGGAATATGAGCCATCACTCTCTAGAAAGTGCTCAGCAAATTCTGGCAAGCCACTTCTGAAAACGTTGCCAAGAAAACTTGTCAGGACTTGTTCCAGGTAGTCTCCAGTAGTCAAGAACTGATATGAAGGGATGGATGGATAATTTTAGATAATGTCTCCTAATACATTAAATATTTTTTTCTGTTGAATCCGCTCTGCCTAGATAAATTAATCCTGATTAGAATGCCAGTTCCTCCTAAGATGCTATATATGTTTCTGCCTTGTTGCTGAATAAATCTGATTCAGAGTTATAAAAGATAAGGCTCAAGTGAACCATCTTCTAACTGAAAAGGAAGAATTCCTAAAAGTCGGATTTCTTTTTTCTGCTGCAATTAAAGAAGTCTGTTGCCTAACGGATGAAAAAGGTCCTATCATGATGATGACATTTTGGTTCTGTATGACTTGTAAAGAACCCATCCATCAATGCTTGCCTCACTATATTTATAACATCCATGGACCAAGTAAAATTTGAAAGCATGGGTTCTTTCAAAATAGTTACATGCTTGGCATTAATAAAACTGTACACCAAGCAGGTGTTAAAAGCATCAGAGAATATTACAAGAGTGAATAAATCCTGAATTAACACATAGCGCTAACACTTAAGACTTATATACCGCTTCACAGTGCTTTACAGCCCTCTCTAAGCAGTTTACAGAATCAGCATCTTGGCCCTCAACAGTCTGGGTCCTCATTTTACCCACCTGAGAAGGATGGAAGGCTGAGACAGCCTTGAGCCTGGTGAGATTCGAACTGCCAAATTGCAGTCAGCCGGCAGTCAGCAGAAGTAGCCTGCGGTACTGCACTCTAACCACTGCGTCACCGTGGCTCACTGCAAACTTTTCTAGCAAAATCCTGAATTTACAGAAATTGCAGAAGAATCTTAACTTTACAGCTTAATCATTTTATTCAGCCCTGTGACTTCAGTTACACACAATATACTGCTATTTATAGCATACTGAGAGCTATAGTTAAAAAAAATCATCCTGCAGCAATTAACCCCAATAAAGGGGGGCTGAAATTAAGGCACAGTCATATGAACCAGAAGCTTCATTTCCAGAAATCATGATAATGCTAAAACATTTATGTAAAAAAAAATAAAAATCAACAATACTACTTTCTTGCGTACCTCATAATGCTGTCATCAATTTGCATGAGAGATGTTGCTGTGTGAAGTCTGCTTAGATCTGTTTCCACTAAACTATGTACCTTTCTTGAAGTTTCAGCAAACAAAGCTTGTCTAAAATACAAAGGAAAAAAAAGCTGTTGTGATGCCCATCACAGAATAATGATATTTGCTAACTCTCGATGTCATGCTTATCTGAAAAATGGCCTTATAGATAGCAATAGCACTTAGACTTATATATCAGTCCACTCTCTTGGCTGGGTTTAAAAGGTCAGCATATTGCCCCCAAAAATCTGGGTTCTCATTTTACCGACTTCAGAAGGATGGAAGTCTCAATCAATCTTGAGCCACTCGGGATCGAACTCCTGGCTGTGGGCAGAGTTAGCCTGCAATACTGCATTCTAACCACTGTGCCCCTAGGACTCAGAAATAGATACAAATCTTCACATTATTGTAGTGTGGAATGTCCATTTTATGTCAAATTCAAAACCTTTTCAATTTGTTCTTTGGAAAACGAACATGAAATGTATGTTTGTGAATCTCACAAACAGAAGGATGTTATTCAACCAAAGCTAGAAGAATGGATCAGAAATCTAGACTTTATAAACCCAATCTTATGTCCGATAGACTCTAGTTGAAACTGCCATTCAACTGTTAAAAAGATTTCTGGCCAGACATTTTAAGATGGGTTGCTTCGCAGTATTCCTCTAAAGATAAAAAACCCCATATGCTTCCCTCAATTTTATTGAGTAGCAGCAAGAATAAAAATGCAATTTCAAAACTGTAATAAAAAAAAGAAGAAGAAAGAAACATAGTCACTGAGTTTTACATGCATTTAACAAAATCAAATCTATAAATGAAACCAACTGAACTTTGTCTGATAAGTTTTGGAATAGGGAAAAATGAATGTGGTTGAGGATGCCTTTTTTAAAAAAAAGATAAGTTTCATTTTACTATGCAAAGCTTTATTGAAAACGTATTAATTTTTTTCAAAGGCAACAACGGGTTGTAGACATTTTATAGAGGACATCTTGTGATACAAATAATAAGGCATCAGGCTAGACTTATAGATAGCCTCAGTGTGTTTCCCCGTGATCAATTACTACACAGTGACAGAGATATGGCTGTGCTGATCAATCAAATAATTCACTTGGAATAGTTACTTCAACTTATGTTGTTCGCCAGAGAAATCTGGCATGATACATTAGAGCATAGAGACCATTAGCGATCCTGACTGTGAAGGAAATAAAGAGCTGGGAACAAAAGGAGGACTGTGGGCCATATGTGTGAGCTTTGTTCTCTGTACTTGTAGAGCACAAAACATTTGGGGAAATTTGGCTTCGGGGGTTGCACGACAGCACAAAAGATCTATTATGGAGACAAAATGTTTTTGGCAGATTAACAAGATATCCTTCAGATTGGCGAAGGATTGCTTGTGCTTAAGACTGGGAACTCTTTTAAAAAAAGGGAAGATTAAAATATCTCGCAGTTGTCAAAATGTTTGGATATCTGGGACAAATTAAGTAGATTCAATACTCTGTAAACCATAAGAGACTCTTAATACCCTAAAGATTTTCCTTCCCCCCTCCCTGCCCCCCCCTCCCCGTTACTTGCCATGAAAGCCTTGAGGAAGAATTACTGCAGCAATTACAATTATTAGTATTCCATACAGGTTGCTGATCTAAAAATATGCCAAAAGTATTATTTTTTTTTTTTAAAAAAAATCTATTTTCCAGTCTCCGGTCATAACAGACCATTTCTTAAGCTAAATGCCCTAGTTTTCATCCAGATGAAGCTAGTGAATAATCTATCCAACCTGATTACTGTACTTTTTGGAGTATAAGACGCATTTTCCCCCCCCTAAAAAGAGGGTGGAAATCAGTGATGGGTTGCTACCAGTTCGCCCCTGATCGAGTGAACAGGTAGCGGCGGCAACGGGAGGCTTCGCCCGCACACCCGGACGTTTCTGCACATGCGCAGAAGTGTCGCGCCCGTGGGGAAACTGGTAGCGACGGGTTTTGAAACCCGCCCCTGGTGGAAATGTTGGTATGTCTTATACACCGAATACAGCCATTTTTGGCCTCCCGAAACTCTGCCCCACGCGTCCCGTTTTTGCCCAAAACAGGCCTGGGGTTTTTTTTGCAAAAACAGGGCCTGCAGAGTGCTCCTGGGGGCTGGGGAGGACAAAACTATGACGTGTGGGGGGTTTGGGAGGCCAAAAACGGGCCTGTTTTCCCCGAAAACATTTTTGCCCTCCCCAGCCCCCAGGAGCAGTCTGCAGGCCTCCCAAACCTTCTGCAGGCCCTGTTTTTACAAAAATAGGGACGCACAGAGGGTTTGGGAGGCCTGCAGAGTGCTCCTGGGGGCTGGGGAGGGCAAAACCCTTTTTTTTCCTTGTTTACCTCTTCAAAATCTTGGTGCGTCTTATACTCTGGTGCGTCTTATAGTCCGAAAAATCCGGTAACTTAGTTTGGGGCAGTAAAAACTGCAATCCACCCAACACGAGCATGTGGTACATTGAGACTCGTTGAGAGCAAAACTGTACCTGTGAGACAGGATGATTTTCTTCAGGTTGTCTGCCATGAGGAAATTGTAAAATCTCCGGCACTGATCCCACTGCATGAAGGTTTCCTGTGCCCTAACAAGGATAGAGGGGGAAATAAGTAAATAAAAGCAATTAATAAAAGTTATTGTTACAGGTTACAGTGACAAGAGGCTAACTTGCAACATTGCTCTTTAATTTTTTTTCCTGGGGGGCCACCAATACAAGTAGTCCTCGTCTTATGACTGGTCGCTTAGCGACCATTTGAAGTTACGACTTACCTGAAAAAGGGGAGGTACGACCTGATTCTGAAGTTATGACTGTCACCCTCCCCCCACGATCATGTGACTGCACCTCCGACACTCAGCAACATGCCTGCACTGATGGCCATTTGTAGCATCCTGCAATCACATGACCATGTTTCGGCACAGTTCTGCTGAAAATTGGCCCTTCTGGTTTGGGGCAAAACCAGGCCCTAGTGAACAATGCGGTGATCCTTTAACAACTAGGGAAGTGTTTCTCAACCTTGGCAACTTTAAGGTGAGTGGACTTCAACTCCCAGAATTCCTTGCTGGCTGGGAAATTCTGAGAGTTGAAGTCCACCCATTGTAAAGATGCTAAGTTTGAGAAACACTGAACTAGAGCATTTGTTTTATGACTGTGTTTGCTTAACGATAGCTGCAAAAAAAAAAGATTTATGACTGAAACAACATGCAACCGTAATGGGCAATCTCCATTAGAGTCGTATGTTGAGGATTAATGGTAGCTCCAACAATTTAGGCAATGGCACACAGAAGTGCTATTAAAAAGTCAACCATTAGAGGGAACAAAACCCTCAAAAACAGGAATGGGAAGCTGCCAACAATTTGCAAAAGAAAAATTCACGAAAAGAGTGAATGGTCCTATCTTGTCTCAATGGGGTAATTTCTAAAATTGATTGAATGATCAGACATTGCAAAAGCTGGCACATATGTACATATAGATAAACCCAGAATTCTCACTAAATGCTAAAAATTCTGAAAGCTTTGGAAAGCCACTATTTTAAGAAAATAGCAAGCAGAGGTATAATATTTCAAATATTTTTCGCACTGCTTTTTTTCTTTCATAAACTTCTAACTGCAGGACCACCAGGGTTTCAGATCTGTCTATGTGAAGAACAAAGAGCTGAAATGTTGCCTTCTATTGTCATAATTTCCGAAAAAACAGTATCTTGAAAAAGGACCAGAAAGAGGTAGTAGGTTGAGTATAAGCTATGTAGAAATAGTTTACTTCCCCTACACTCAGCAAAAGCACAGCAACCATACTCACTTCCTGCTCTACCACAACAAAGTTCATAAGTCAACTTACCTCAATGCGCTATACCCCTGACACACACTGACACAACAGAGCACCCGGTCCTGGTTAGTATGAGATTCCCCAAGGTATTTGCACACTATATTTCCACCCAGGCTAAAGCCAACAACAACAAGGTTGGACTGAGGATATGTCTTCTTGATGTAGGTCACCATACCGGAAAATTCCCAGGTGCAACCTATGAAACAGTGAAGACAAAGACATGATGGTTGAGGAATTCTGGGAATTGAAATCCATAAGTCTTAAAGTTGCCAAGTCCCAAACGGAACTATAATTTCCCATGTTTCTTCAAGACTTCTAAACATTAAAACAATAATCTAATCATAGTTAAGAAATGATGAACATTTTAAGAACCTTAAAACAAGAAACGGAGGATAATAACATGTAGTGAAAACCAGATACTATGAATAATGATAGTATTCTATTCTTAAGGACTTGTCATTGCAGTACAGAGTTTTCAAGCGTCAAATCTGAGTATAGTTAAATAAAGCATAGGAGAAATACAAGATAGAGCATTACAGTAACATTTTGATTGCTCAATAACACTCCAGAATAATCTCCTGAGGCTACAGACTATAATTATTATTATTTTTTAAAAGTGTTGCCAAAGGCTTACACTAGAGATTTGAAATTCTCACCATAAACAACAGGAATACAAGGAATGGCAGGAGCCAACAAGATTTCAAGGAGGGTTTTAAGGAGTATCAGCCGGTGCTACTCTCCAAAAGTACTGTAGTTGAAAAAAACTGTCTTACTCCCATTTCTGGCACTATAATCTAAGTCAAGCTAAAGAAACGGATACTACAGCATTGCATGTATATTCCTAGGAGAAAACAGTGCTCTCTGTCTTTTCTCTTCATGCAGATAGAAATATACACATCAGTGGTGGTATTTACCGGTTCTATCCGGTTCGGGCAAACTGGTAGCAGCAGCTGCGGGAGGCTCCGCCCACCTGCCCGGACGTCATCACGTCTCGTTTTTTTACCCTCTGCACATGCATTGAAGGCCCTATGCATGCACGGAGGTGGCGTGTGCGAGCAAAATAAGCGCACACGCACGCATGCACACATTTGCGAACCGGTAGCGAAGGTGAGTACTACCCGATGCACATGTTGAAAAAGGTCTTTTTTTCACTGAATTACCCATCTGTCATATTTTCTTCCCTTAGAATGATTTAACAACATGCTTATGTTTTCTAACAGACCACAATCCTGGTTTGGGTTCACATGATCAGGCATAACCAAGCAAAGCTCATTAGGGCTTACTGTAAAAGTGTGAGCTGAGCCGTTTGAAAGTTTATTGATCAAATCAGACCCACCTTTGGCACTAGGAACACAGGCAAGCTAGGAACTAACACTAACAGGAGAAGATGGAAGAGTGAGCCAACATTTACCATAAGTGAACATGCGTGGCGAAGTCAGTTCAATACTTGGGAGGGCCCCAAGGTGATTTAACACAGCACATCGGTAGCCTTTCTTTTGAGCATAGTCGACAAAGGTTCTGATGTACTGCTTTTCACTGTGGTTAGCTATTCCAGGGCAGATGACCATTGTGATATCTTCTGGAGAATAAAAACATCAGAGAAGTTGGACAGGGAAGATGCAAAATGACATTTCGTTCGCTAATTTTTAGTCTATGGAGACTAATTTTGGAACAAAGCAATTTTTACATTCTCTCACTCTCTCTCTCTCTCTCTCACACACACACACACTTTTGCTAAGAATGTGGTAATTTATTATGCTACAGTACAACACAGAGAGGGGAAACATGACATCCATTATGCAACTTCAGTTTGTTTACCCAAGCTCTTTATAAAATGACCGAGAATTTATTTGGACAAGTTACGGTAAGCATCGCTGAAATTTCAACAACTTCTCCAATTCGCAGTCACGGACTAAGACAACTTCTCTAAATGGGACTAGCTGTTAAAAATATATATATATATTTTTTTTTTAAAAAAAAATTTCCGCAAGCAGCAGCAACCATGGGAAAATAAAAGCACGCATGCGCACACGCCCCTATAAAGTTTGTCCTCCTCTTTTCCTCAGAAAGGCTTTCAAAACCAGTTTTCCTAACTGGATGCCTGTCAAATGTGAACTATAACTTTAAGCTGTCAGTCACTGGCTCTGTTAGCACAGAATTCTCCCATTATACCTGAGAAGCTTCAAATTTGAGGTGGTGGTTTTAAAACAGCTCAGGATAAGCTGCAGAGATAAGCTTCTTCCACCTGGACCTCTTATGAGGAATGGCGGTATTACTTACACCTCATGGCATTTCCCCCCTTCTCAAGACAATTCTTGACGAGAAGGAAAAGGAAGATTGGATGAGAAGGGATTTGTTTTTTTGGTCTGTATTTTTCACTCCTGTGTGACAAATGGAAAGTGAGGTATCCTTTGGGGGAAGATCAAATAAATACTTTCTAAGCAATAATTAAGCTACGGTTAGGAGCGCAGTGCTACCTATTTAAAGCATCTTGCTGTTCCAAGGTTTTGCTGCAGTGGGGAAACAATAACTAGCCACGTGTTATTCTGGCAAAAGGAATACACCGGGGAGGAGAATATCTTTGACATTTGGTAGAAGTTTCCAATACACCTGGATGCTTCAAACCCAGTGGAGCGCTTTCCCTTCAAATGGACAACTTCTAGTATATGATTAGGGTGGATTCTCTCAAGCAAACAAAACAGGTTTCAGATTTAATTAAGCTCCTTAACACTGCATTCACTTTTGGTCGCCACGATGTAAAAAAGATGTGGAGATTCTAGAAAGAGTGCAGGGAAGAGCAACCAAGATGATTAGGGGACTGGAGGCTAAAACATATGAAGAACGGTTGCAGGAACTGGGTATGTCTAGTTTGATGAAAAGGACTAGGGGAGACATGATAGCAGTGTTCCAATATCTCAGGGGCTGCCACAAAGAAGAGGGAGTCAAGCTATTCTCCAAAGCACCTGAGGGCAGGACAAGAAGCAATGGATGGAAACTAATCAAGGAGAGAAGCAACTTAGAACTAAGGAGAAATTTCCTGACAGTGAGAACACTTAATCAGTGGAACAACTTGCCTCCAGAAGTTGGGAATGCCCCAACACTGGAAGTTTTTAAGATATTGTCTGAAGTAGTGTAGGGTTTCCTGCCTAAGCAGGGGGTTGGACTAGAAGACCTCCAAAGTCCCTTCCAACTCTGTTATTCTATTCTATTCCTTTCACCCAGGGAGGGGAAAATCCCAGCCTTTACAGTTTATGTAACAGACCTTAATCTCAAGCATTATTGATTGATTGACTGATTGTGATTGATTGATACAGTGTTTTCCCAAAAATAAGATCCTGTCTTATATTTTTTTGAACCCTGAAATAAGTGCTTGGCCTTATTTTCGGGGGAGGTCTTATTATTTTGGGCCCCGTGGAGCAAGATGGGGCTCCTCTTGCCATCTTACCTGATTTCCACCTCTGTCTCCCTAACCCTAACCCGAGGAAATGGTGGGGATCAGCTGTGCATGTGCTTAAATATTTTCGGGGAGGGCTTATTTTCGGGGAGGGCTTATTTTAGTGAATGCGCTCAAAAGCCCGATTGGGCTTATTATCCAGGGAGGTCTTATTTTCGGGGAAACAGGGTAGGTAGTCCTCAAGTTACAACCACCATTGAGCCCAAATTTTCTTTTGCTAAGCGAGACATTTGTTAAGTGAGTTTTGCTCTCATTTTATGACCTTTCTTGCCACATCTATTAAGGGAATCCCTGCAGCTGATAAATTAGTAACTAGGTTGTTCAGTAAATCTGGCTTCCCCACTGACTGTGCTTGCCAAAAAGTTGCAAAAGGTAATTTACATGACCCCGGGATACAGCAACGGTTGTAAATATGAACCAGTTGCCGAGCGTCTGGATTTTGATTATTTATACGAAGGTTATAAGTGTGAAAAATTGGCGGTTGTGACACATATTTTGAGTGATAGGGACTCCAACTGGCGCAGAGTGCGGCCGCGCGGGTGGTAATGGGAGCGACATGGCATTCCCATGTAACACCTCCGGGTGCCGTTGGCCAAACAATGTCGACTGGCGGCCCCTAGGGGGAGAGCCTTCTCTGTGGGGGCACCTACTATCTGGAACGAACTGCCCCCGGAGATACGGAGGATCCCAGATCTGCGCACCTTCCGCCGCGCTCTTAAGACCTTTTTATTCCACCAGGCGGGCCTGGCCTAATCTTTTCCCTCTTTTTAATTATGCAAATTTTAATTGGTTTTTAAATGATTGGGGTGTTTTAATCTGTCTGGGCCAAATTGTTTAATTCGATTTTATTTTATTTTTAAATTGTGTATATATGTATTTTTACTGTTTGGCTGTTCACGGCCCTGAGTCCTTCGGGAGTAGGGCGGTATATAAATCAAATAAAGTAAGTAAGTAAGTAAGTTTGACATTCTACCCCTAAAGTAGAAAATCAAAGCCATGAAGCAATGCCTCTCATCTGACGGCTATAAAAATAATCTCTCTGTGTATACACCACATAGGCAGATCTCTGGTCAGAGGTTCAAAAGTCAGCCCCTGCCCCTCCCCCCCAAACTGAAAGCTGAAACTCAGACCAGAATTATGGCCCCAATAAATCTCCAGCCTCTCTATTGGGAGTAAATGTTGCCTAGCCAGATATTTTCTGCAAATATTTACTCAAACTTCCGGGTCAAGTAAGAATAGATAGAGGCAGGCTAACCTTTGCTGCTGTTTTCAGTTAGAGGCTCGAAGAGGTCAAAAGTTGCTGTGGCACCGTCTGCCATGGTGAGGTACTTGCGAAGCCCGTAAGGATGCGGTGAACTTACTCTCCCCATCTTCCCGTAAAGGGCAGTCTGGATGTGCCCGCTCTTTCCCCAGATCAAGGGTGGAATGTACCTAAAGAGAAAATGGAAATGCATGCATTGAAATACATGCAAACGTGTGCTTTTGCTTTCAGACACATCTTTAATTTATAGTGCAAATACTTCAGTGGTGGGTTTCAAATTTTTTTACTACCGGTTCTGTGGGTGTGGCTTGGTGGGCGTGGCAGGGGAAGGATACTGTAAAATCTCAATTCCCACCCCACTCCAGGGGAAGGATACTATAAAATCTCCATTCCCTCCCCACTCCAGGGGAAGGTTACTGCAAAATCCCCATTTCCTCTCAATCAGCTGGGACTCGGGAGACAGAGAATAGATGGGGGCGGGGCCAGCCAGAATTTTTACTACCGGTTCTCCAAACTACTCAAAATTTCCGCTCCCGGTTCTCCAGAACTGGTCAGAACCTGCTGAAACCCACCTCTGAAATACTTATATTAAAAAAAAAAAAAAGAAAGGGGGGGGAACCCCATACATAAAAAATGCTTAGAAAGTGAAAAAAAAATATGAGGAAAAACCAAAGTACAATATATCATTGTAATAATAAAGGGTTACAATTCCATATAGGTTATCCATAAAAGCAACGTAAATCAATAAATAAATATAGATCTTTAATTTATTAGCAGGCTGTCTTGGACACAAATGTTTACCTTTACAAAAACAACATAAACAAATAAAGATAGATCTTTTATTAGCAGGCCAGCTTGGACACAAATGTTTACCTAAGTTAATGTACAATCTAGATAAGTCTAAATAAATAGCAGAGGTCACCGTTAAGAGCCAAAGGGACAACAGATGGCAAGTCTGATATATCGAGTATAATTTAGTGACCTCTGAAAAAACACTTCCCGAAGCAGCACCCTTTTAAGAGAGCAAACAACATATATATTAGACTCATCGCGAAAGTGCCATAAAGGGTGCTAAAGCAGATGGCCTTTTATCTTAATTTTATGGTTTTAGATATACTAAAGGGGAAACGGTAAGGAAGAGGAAATGAAGAGGTTAAAAGTGGACGGACATTGCTTTCAACACCACCATCATCTTGCCAGAAAACACCTGGCTAGTATTTCCAAACTATCGAACAGGACAAGCACATTCTTTTAAGAGGCTGATCATCCAGAAATATATATATAAGAATGGCCCTGCTGATCAAGCCAGGAGCCATTTAAGTCCAACATTTTGTGGTCGTAAGTCGAGGACTACCAGTAATGTTCTGTCAAATATTTAAACAGAGAAACAGCTAGTCCAGCATTGCTCAGGAACCTGAGTACAGCTTGTAAAGTAATTAGCATCCTCATTATGGAGAGTAAAAGCTGAAATACTTGTTACAGAAATGGCTTGAAACATTGTTATAGAAATAGGAAGCAAAGGGCTGAGGTTGTAACTTTTTTTTGTTGTTGTCATCTATTGCCGGAAATCCCTTTTCTTCTTCCTTTCTTTCGCTCCTGCACGAGTCAAAAAGAGGGCTGTGAAAATATTTACAGACCTCTCGCATCCTGGACATAAACTGTTTCAACTCCTACCCTCAAAACGACGCTATAGAGCACTGAACAGCAGAACAACTAGACACAAGGACAGTTTTTTCCCATCGCCATCACTCTGCTAAACAAATAATTTCCTCAACACTGTCAAACTATTCACTAAGTCTGTATGACTATTTTTATTAATCTTCTCATCGTTCCTATCACCCATCTCCTCCCACTTATGACTGTATGACTGTAACTTTGCTGCTTGTAACCTTACAATTTATATTCCTAGTATGATTTGATTGCTTATTTGTACCCTATGACTATCATTTAAGTATTGTACCTTATGATCCTGGATGAATGTGTCTTCTCTTTTTATGTACGCTGAGAGCATATGCACCAAAGACAAATTCCTTGTGTGTCCAATCACACTTGGCCAATAAAGAATTCTATTCTATTCTATTCTTCCTGGCAAATAGATGGGGAAGAAATGGAGGTAGTGACAGATTTTATTTTCCTGGGCTCCAAGAGCACCGCAGATGGGGACTACAGCCAAGAAATTAAAAGACGCTTGCTCCTGGGGAGGAAAGCTATGGCAAAGCTAGACAGAATGCTAAAAAGCAGAGACATCACCCTGCCAACAAAAGTGCGTATAGTCAAGGCGATGGTTTTCCCAGTTGCAATGTATGGCTGGGAAAGTTGGACCATAAGAAAGGGTGAGCGCCAAAGAATTGTGGCCTTTGAACAAGGTGCTGGAGAAGACTCCTGTGAGTCCCTTGGACTGCAAGGCAATCCTCTGGTCAGTCCTAGAAGAGATCAACCCTGACTGCTCTTTAGAAGGCCGGATCCTAAGGATGAAACTCAAATACTTCGGCCACCTAGTGAGAAGGAAGGACTCATTGGAGAAGAGCCTAATGCTGGGAACGATTGAGGGCAAAAGAAGAAGAGGATGATAGAGAATGAGGATGGTAGAGGACAGGAAGGCCTGGAGGAACGTTGTCCATTGGGCCACGATGAGTCAGACATGACTTCGCAACTAACAACAACAACAATCTATTCTATCTTCTATCTATCTTTCTTTTGTTTCTATTTGTTTTATATCACGATAAACTTTAGCAAGTTTAGCAAAATAGATGAAAGGGGAATAAAAGTGGAAACGGTTGGAATGGAGAAATGCTCAGTTCTGAGGAGCGGGGGTAACAGAGTGGCATATATACAAAAAGGAGTGAAAACAGCCTGCAGAGGACACTCATGAACGAAAAGGAGGAAAAAAGGCAGACACTTATCCAAGGAATTTGTGATGTCATGGAATTTCTGACTGTAATAAAGTTAAGGCAGTGGGACCTCTAGGATTGTAATCCTATCCGGTTTGTTGGTAGAGACATTCACACATCTTTTACGTTCCATGCAGTGTTTTACTCTGACCAGCAGTACATGCATGAGGGGTTATCCACAGAGTTATTAAATGCTCGAACTGGAAATTAAAGGGTGGGTTTTTTTTTTAGCAGTTTGGCCACCTCCCTTTCACCTCCCTAAGTTCTTTCAGAAATGAGATGTATTAAAAAGTGACAAACAGAACGCGCTTGAAATCTTTGTGATTAATAACTCAGGAATGTGGCGTTTAAAACGCTGATGAAAATATTCCAAAAGTCTTGTCTTATTTGTCAACGAAATACAAACCCATCAAGCTTCAGCGACACAATTCTTTTCCTCTCACCACAATCCACTGGAACATTTCTTTTGGACCCCCTATAGCTTTTGATATAAAAAGCAATAACTACTGGTATATAATATTACTGTTGACTTGGGTATTGTAAATGGTGGCATTGTTTTACATTAATTCTATTTTTAGAGGAGTGATGTTACTAGTAGTTCATCGCTCTGTTCCTCTGGACTCCGTTTTATCCATCAGTTTATTTAACACACACACACACACACACACACACACACACACACACACACACACACACAGTAGTGGCCAAAATTGTGGAAACATTTTGGGAAAAGTGTATTTTCTAAAACTAGCTAATAACACCACTTTATTTTTGGAGTAGTACCCTAAAATTATATATCAATGGAAAGATCATTTAATCAAGAATGTAATGCAATAACTTTTATGAAGGATTTGCTATTAGAATAGCAGGTACAGTATAAAGAAGAAAAGTGAAACACGTAGAAAAAACAAGATACACAAAAATGATCACCATAGAAAAAAAGAGATACAAAAATTCTCACCATGTCAGTTAATACTTGGGTAACCTTTAGCATGAATTACTGTCTTCCTTACAATGTCTTCCCATGGAGTGAACCACGTCTTTTAGTTCTGCAGCTGTTATAATGTGAAACCAAGATTGGATGATTGCGTCTATTAACTGGGTTTTATTGCTAGTCGCTTCTGATGAACAAGTTTCTTTAGTCGGCTCCCTAGATTTTCAATTGGGTTAAGGTCTGGGCTATTCCCAGGCCATTCCAGCAGTGGAATAGGATTATCTTGAAACTCCCCCCCCCAAAAAAGTGGTGTTATTAGCCATCAAACCTCAAAAATACACTTTTCCCAAAAGATTTCCACAATTTTGGCTACTACTGTATATATAACAGCTGAGAACAGGACAAGAGTTGTCCCTAAAATGCAAATTACACTCAGCTCAAAGGTTTTCCTTTTCATCTAACCCAAATGAGCCAACAGGCATTTGGAATAAGTCCTCCAGCACAGAATAAGAGTGAATGAGAATTAATTCACTGAAGGAAGTTCTTGCCATTTGGCTTGCATGGCCAGATAGGTGCCCAGCTTGTGGTGAAGAACAGGCTGCACACTAGAAAATCAGGTGCGAAAGTGAATGGTGCCCTTGAATCTGCTACTGCTGCTAGATATGTAAGTGTCCTCTATGACAAAGTACTTTTTTTATCAGTTGATATGCCAATAGTGACCCCCACCTAAAAAAGGAAGAGCTGGGTTACAGCTATCATGCGGTATAAACTTTCAGTTGGATTACTGCAATGTGTTGGAGGTAAAAAATACTTTTGGAGACTGGGAAGCATTTGGAGTTACTTCAAACCAAAGCCATCAAGCGCTGCTATTTTTGCCAGATGCACTGGCTTTCAGCCCGTTTCCAATTCAAAGTGCTATGTTGAATTTAAATGAAATTCCCGCCGTATATATTTGCTGATCAAGTTGTTTCTCTGCTATGTGCCACGATTATGGAATAGTCTTCCAAGGAGACATACGGTAGTAAAAGAGGCTTTTTACGCCAAAGCACCTGAGGGCAGGAAAAGAAGCAATGGATGGAGAATAATCAAGGAGAGAAGCAACCTAGAACTAAAGAGAAAATTCCTGAGAACAATTAATCCGTGGAACAACTTGCCTCCAGAAGTTGTGAATGCTCCAACACTGGAAGTTTTTAAGAAGATAGCCATTTGTCTGAAATGGTATAGGGTTTCCTGCCTAAAAGGGAGGTTGGACTAGAAGACCTCCAAGGTCCCTTCCAACTCTGCTATTCTATTCTATTTTACTGAACAAGCTGTAATTTGTTAGTTTAGCACACTAAGCTTTATA